CACTCCAGAGGCCAAGCCCGATAAGCTACGGCAAACCGGCCATTTTTGATTTCTGAATGTGTCACGCCGTTTTCTGACCCTTATCACCCATTTTTTGGGCTTCTTGGAACCGGGCGTTGCGTGGAAAGGGGCGGAATCGACACTTCCGGGAGCTCGATTTTCGAATTTTCCGATCTATTCCCGACTTTTCAATCCCTTTAAACTTGTCCTAGGAGTCAGAGAGATCGAAAAACAGTCTTTTAGTCAAATCCACAGCTGTATTTGTCTTGCTAACTCCTTTAAATCGTCCACAAATTAGCTTGCACAATTTTTTCCTGTTTCCTAGTGGTCTTTTTTTCCAATTTTTTTGGGTAGCTTTCGACTTTGAAAGCCCTTTAAAAGTTGGTCTATCTATCTCTCGCTCCTTCGTCCCCGCTCTCTCTCCCTCTTGCCCTCTCTCTCTCGCCTAGTGGCCGTGTGGCGGCTGTCAACAAGTGGTTGGTGGGTGGGCTGGCTGGCTCGACCTTGATTGACCCCCGCTGACCTCTGCTCTCTTTCTCTGCCGTCTCTCTCTCTCCAGTTCACCTGGGACCGCTAGAGACTGGGGTGCGGCCCGTGTGGTCGGTTGCCCTTTCTGTGTAGACAGACAGAGAGAGAGAGAGAGAGAGAGAGAGACAGCCCCTCCCTCCCATTCCGCTCCACTCCTGTTTACGTTTCATAATATAGCCGTGGGGGCATGGACGGACAGCCGGTTGGACCCAAGCCGGCTACCCGGTCACATGCATCCACCCCGATCAGTCTGGCATCGATCATCTACCTGATTTGAATTTTACCGTACATACCGTAGCGTATAGTAGCGTACCGTATCTTACTGTACTCTTCAAAGCCGGATTTTTCACCTTTGAAACGCTTAAAATTTAACTCAGCTAAGTATGGGTTTTTTTGAGAATAGCAGTGGTTTTTTGAGAATTTTCTGCAGGCGAACTAGCAGTGATTTTTGGGGAAATCAAGCCTCTTGAAGAATCTCTGCTAGCTCGCCTACCTCAATTCTGAGGGTCTGCTTCTCTTCCTGACTCTCTCGCTCTTTTCCCTCCCCTCCCTCGCTCTCTCTCTCTCTCTCTCTCTCTCTCTCTCTCCTTCTCTCGCTCGCCTCTTTGCAAAAGTGCCAATTTCCGCAACATTCCGGGTGACACGATTTTTCGCGGCCATCAAAATCTTCGAGCCCCAAGCCTCACCAGGTCAAATAATGGCCCTATCAGCTGGAAAATGAGTCACGAGTGTAGGAGTCGCTCTGTTTCTCGAATTCTCTGCCCCTCTCTCGCCCCCTCAACCGCCCGCGTCCACTTTTCCGGGCAACCAACTCTGGCGGTGCCGTTGACCTCTTCCCCAATGACGCCCCGCCCGTCGCCCACCCCGCCTTGTCTGTTATTAAAATTTGTTTTTGAGGGCTGGGGATTGTTTTTCTCTGTCTCTCTCGTTCTCTCTCCCTCTCTCTCTGTATTTATCTCTCGCTCTCTCCCTCACTCTTGCTCTCTCTGTCTCTCTCTTTCTCGCTCTCTCTCGCTCTAACTCTCGCTCTATCTCTCTCGTTCTCTCTCTCTCGCTCTCTCTCTCTCTCTCTCGCTCTAACTCCCTCTCTATCTAGCTCTGGCTCTCTCGTCATCCCTCTCTCCCACTCTTTACTCATTTCGATTTCAAAGAATTTCGGACTTGCGACCCCTTTAAACCCCTTTAAACTCGTTCCTCAGCTCCTCCTCAAAGATTTCTGCTAGCTTGCCCCAGAAAATTCTCGTTTTTTGACGGTTGAAGTGGATGGTGCATCAAGGGAGAACGAGAGAGAGAGAGAGAGAGAGAGAGAGAGAGAGAGAGAGAGAGGGAGAGATAGAGAACGAGATAGACCAAATTCCATAAAGGCTTATCGCTCGACATTTTTTATTCTTACGAATTCGGATTTTCCCTTTCGCCATAAATTCCCTTCCACTTCCCTGACCTTTAACCCGGCCGGGGGCCCATAGGGCCAATGGAGTGGCCCATGGCCCTGGGCCACCGTGGATGGGCCCCAGTGGTTGCCAGGGGTGAAGGGGCAGCACCTTGTTGCCCATCTCCAACCCCTTGCCCCCTAGTTGTGAAGATGCCCCCAGGAGGAATTGCCCGAAAAGGATACGGTAGATGGCCCGTGGCCCCGGGGGCCCTCACCACAAAACAATCGGCCTTTCATTGGGGCCCTTCCTTGGCCCTGGGCCACACACAAAACAGAGCCATGTCAAAATAGGGCGCAGTGGAGTTTGGAGTGTCATGTAGGGGTCCTGGGGTAAAAGCTTAGGTTTAAGCTTAGGCTGAGGCGTGACTTCGGCTTAGCTTTGGCTTAGGTTTGGCTTAGGCTTAGGCCTAGCTGTCCGATTCTGAGGATTTACTGCTAGCTCCTTCCTAAAAAATACCAGCTAGTCTGCCTCATCAGAACTGCTCTTTTGCTTCCTCGGAGCTTCCTCATTAATCTCTGTTAGCCTACCTTTTTCTACTGACTTTTACCGTAAATTGTCGACGCACTAATGCCAGGCCCAGTTCGCGATTCCTCAAGAATCTTGGCTACTCTCCTCCTCAAGTCTCCCTTCTTTATTATGCAAATTTCAAGCTCAACCTTACCCAATTTTTTTGCAGGCAGCCGCCGCCTCGTCCGCCTTTCTCGACCAGCAGAGACGTGGGCCAACACCAGGCGCCCCACCCCCGATGCCCGCCTCCCTTCTACAACATCTTGTACACGTCAGGGGGCATCAGGTCAGTTTGTGGGTTTGGGTTGCCGGGCCCTTTAAAGTGTCCAGAGGTGTCGTTTATAGCGGCAATAAGCTTATCTATAGAAAATTTGACTTCTAGGGACCTTTAAAAGAGTTTAGAAGCTCGAATTGGCCTTTAGAATTCACTTTTCTTGGTGAGACCGCTCCTTTAAACTTTGTAAATTACTGGAGAAAGAGAGAGTGAAAGAGAGAGACAGCGAGAGAGAGAGAGAGAGAGAGAGAGAGATCTCGACAAAGAGGGGCAATTTTCGTTATTTTGACTTTAGTGGTGGGGAGATGACCTCGAGACCTGTCCCCCCCGTCTCATCATTATTTTTGTTTGTCGGGATGGTGCTTCTCTGACCATCTCATGCTCTCCTCTCTTGCTCTGTTTTGTGCCTCCTTGTCGTGCTCCCCATTTTCCGTCCAGAGGCGCCTCCTGTAGGGTAGATCGAGAGTCGAGTTCAGCCTCGGCCATGACCTATGGAAGAGCGAGAGAGAGTGAGCGAGAGAGAGAGAGAGTGAGAGGCGGCAGAGAAACAGAGAATATTTTGTCTCTATCACTATAGTTGTCTACTTTTATCCCTCTCTCTCTCTAACCACAAATGTCTCTCTCGCTATCTTTCTCTCTCTCTCTCCTAGTAAGTTCGGATTAACTCGGACTACAAAGTGACGCACCCTATTCACCTAAGGTCACCTCCCGCCTTTCTTCCGCGCCCCGCTTCTCCATTACCCCACCCGGCAAAAGCCAAAGGGCAAAACGGGCCCTCTGCGCGCGTAACTTGACCGGGGTGGGCCCTAATTGGGCCTAGGTGGGCCCGAAGGCAAAGGGGGGAGGGCCGCTTGGCCGGTCGTGAGGGCCCTAATATGCCCTCCGACCCCCGATGGGAAAGGGCCCACCTCTTGATATCTCTCGATATCTGCGTGCTCTCTCTCTCTCTCTCTCGCTCTCTCTCTCTCGCCCTGTCAGCACGAGGAGAGGAGGGGGCCCATATTAGTCGGATTGCCGCGGCGACACCCCGGCAGAGGCCAAATTGACCCCCCCCCCCCGGCCCCGGTTTTCTCATTAAGTCGATTTCGGCATTAATCGGAGCTTTTGGCGCAAGATTCCTCAAGGGTATTTGCTGGTTTTCCCTGAGGTTTAAGCCTGGGAATTAAGAAACCAGAGAAATTTATGAAGCTATTTAATCAGTCTTAGCGAATTTCTAAGGGATTTTAGATAATTCCACAATGCTCTCTGCTCGTTTGCCTTTATATCGGTTCCGTATGCCAAAAAGAGTTTCCGAATTTCGACAAAGAAACAGATTTTTTCAGTTTTTCGAATTTTTCTGGCCTTCCCGAGTGAAAATTTGGTTATTAAATTTCCGCAGTGATCTTTGCTAAATGCCTTGGCATGTAAAACAAAATTTATCTTTTTTATTCTGTAAAAACCAATATTTACCTGGCGTAATCGAATCGATAATTCATTTTTCGCCTGCCCTACTCAATCCCTTTAAACCCCCCGATTTCATTAATGCGGGTTCACGGGTGAAATTCGACCGGTTAAGGCCCACGTGGCCCAGCCAGGAGGGGCCCAGGGTGGAAAACAATTTGTGGGTTTGGAGAGGGCACGGCCGGGGGAAAAGCCACCCTCTCCCTGACGGCTCGTGACCCCCACATTGGCCAGTCCGTCACCAGGGGCCCCGCGCCGTTTTCTCACCTAACTACGCGAGGATACGGGACCCCTTCAGGGGTCCTTTAAAAGTTAAATTTGGCTATCTCACTCTCTTGCTCTCTGATCTATCGCTCTCTCTCTCTCTCGTTATCTCTTTCTCTCTCGACTTTTCGCTCTGTCGCTCTCTTGCCTTTTCGCTTGGCTCGCCCCAATACGCTGTACGCTTTTTGAACGGGAAAATGACAAAATACCGACAGGGAAAATCCCGACAGCCGGAAATTCTATAGGCCTCGCAAAGTGTCGGGATTTTGGCTGTCGGTATTCTGACCGGAATTCCTCCAAAAAGGCCATATCCCGAAGAGATTCCGACTAGAAACCGCTCGTTTTGGAGGTTGTGGTATTCATTTCAAAGATTTCCCTGTTTTCTACCACACATGTCGCGTGTCGCGACGCGGCTAGTGTTGAGATTCTGAGATTCTTGCGATGAGCCTTCAATGGTCCTTTAAACAGCTAAAACTAACTCTAAACTCCCAATTCCGCGACAGTCCGGTTGACACCATTCTTAATCTCTGTTTTTGCAGCTAGCGCACAATGTGATGGGAGCCCGGTCGCCGGCCGATGCCTGTCTCACCAACCAACCGCGCGACATCGGCGAGCTGTGCGTCGTTTGCGGTATGTTTTTTGTTTCTATTATTGACTTCATGATCCCTTTAAAACCTACCGTAACTGGTCCTGGTAAAAAAGCTTATAAATTTCATTTTTACTTCAAAATGCTTTTTAACACCTTACGACACTTTGGCATTATCGGGGAGGGGCTATCAGGGAAAGCTAATTTTTGTAGAACTCAAAAACGAGTAAGTGTTTTAATAATTTTTTTACCGCAAAAAATGCTAAGAAATGCAATTTTTTGTCGAAAAACCGATTTTTTTTTGTATTTTTTCCGAATATTTGCAAAGTTCTTGCATCTAGAAATAGCAAAAAAATATTTAAAAAACACTTACAATATTAATATGCCTAAAACGCTATTTTTTAGGTGACAAAGCCTCGGGCCGCCACTACGGTGCCGTATCTTGCGAGGGCTGCAAGGGCTTCTTCAAGCGCTCCATCAGAAAACAGGTACATTCCGCGCCCAATTACGCGATCACGGTACCCCCGTTTCCAGTCGTCCCAAATCGGCTACCAGTGCAGAAGCAGCAAGGACTGTCCGGTCACCAAATTCCACCGGAATCGCTGCCAGTTCTGTCGGCTGAAAAAGTGTCTGGCGATGGGCATGCGATCGGAATGTGAGTTTTTGGCATTTTGTGTTTTTCTGGGGGTTTTAAAGGGACTTAGAAGGTATATAGAATAAATTAAAGCAAAAAGCAAAAGCTTGACTTTAAACTTGCTTTTATAAGGTCTTTTGAAAGGATTTTTCGGTTTTAAGTACATATTTGGAATCAGCAAAAATTCTACACAAAATAGGCTCTTTGCCGATAACCTGAGTCTCGAATTAAAAAAATATTTTTGGGTTCAATGGGCCTTTAAACTTTAAAAACCGTAGTTATACCAATGAGTGGCTTCTTCCTATTAGTGCGCCCACGACCCCTCCAATTTGCAGCCGTGCAAGCCGAGCGGCGGCCGATGGGCGGAGCCGGATCTTCGCCGCCAACGATGGTCCCCACCCCGCCCTCCTCGCACACCCCGTCCCTCACCTCGAACACGATCATGAACGGGCTGCTCGCCATCGCCAAGTCGTCCGACTACAAGATGGATACGGATCATGGTAGGGATTTCTGTGAACTGCTTGAAGGCGCCGGATCGTTTCAGGTGAGCAAGACTCGTCTGAATGCCGTTCCTCGTCGCCAATGTCGGCGTCGCGAGCAAGGTCAGCGTCGCCGGAGACGAGCGTTTCCTTGAAGAGGGTCAGTTTTAAAAGGATGGTGACAGGAGGGATGTTTCAAGCTTCGGACCTCATAACTTGCCGAAAATGGGCTCAATTTCAAAGTTTCAAAAAACTATGATCATCTACTTTTCGAGATCTTTCGATTAATCAGCTCAAAATTTGATGCAAATGAAAATATCGAAAGATATAGGGCTCATAATACCTTTGCAGGAATCGATCGGGGAAGACGAGTCGGGCATTGACGTCGGCTCCTCTGTCTGTCTGGGTGTTGCTCCATCTGATTCTCCCTCCTCGTCATCCGGCGGTGCCTCGAGCTCACTCTCTGATGACCTGTGCACGCCAATATTCAATTCTGGTGAGTTTTTTGTAGTTTGTAGTCTAGTTTGTAGTTTGTAGTTTCAATAGCTTGTCTCGTTTTGGAGTTTGTACTTTTGACCTTTTGTGGTTTTTACATCGTGTCTCCCATTAATGCGCTGTTTCCAGAACGTGTCCGCTTTGAACTCCCGGTGCCCATCCCCGCCCCGTCGGAGCTGAACATTCAGTACATCTGCGAGACGGCGTCACGTCTTCTATTCTTGACGGTGCACTGGATGAAGAATGTCAAAGTGCCATTGAAGTAAGTTAGTTGGATTCTTTGGGACAGAGGTAACTAGCAGTGATTATTTAGGAATTTTCGTCAATTTTTTGTAGGTAAATAGCGGTGAGAGAGAAATTTATGTAACTTTCCTGAGGCACCCAGCAGAAATCCTTAAGGAATCCCCGATCCTGTCTAAACATCCGTTTCCAGAAATTCCACCCTTGAGGTGCTGATGAAGGGCAAATGGTGCGAGCTGTTCGTGCTCGGCCTGGCCCAAACGAGCAGCCAGGTGGGGCTCCCTCGGATGCTGGAGGCGATGAAGAGCCACCTCTCGGCTTGTGCCCGTCTCGGCCAACTGAAGCCCGAGAAGTTCGAGGAGGTCGCCGCCCAGATCGCGCTTCTCGTGCAGTTTGTCGCGCGGTTGGATGCGCTGGCGTTGAGCCCGCATGAGTACGCCTACTTGAAGCTGGTCGCGTTCACGGGGACTGGTGGGTTTTGGGTTCTGGATAGGCTTGGCATAGGCTTAGGGTTAGGCTTACGCTTTGGCTTAGATAAGGCTTGGGCTTAGGCTTCGCTGAGGCTTTGTTTAGGCTTAGATTCATGCTTAGGCTTGGGCTAAGGCTTAGCCTCGGGCTTTTGGGATTAGGCTCAGGTTTGGGCTTAGGCTTAGTCTTCGACCTTAGCTTAGGCTTCGCTTAGACTCCGGTTTAAGCTTAAGCAGCTTCTTAACCCGTAAATTCCCTATTTTCAGACACTCCCGCCAGCTGGGGCCTCGAAAACGAGACGCAACCATTGAACCGGGTGGCGTGCGGCGAGTTGTACGAGTATCTGCAGACCATGTGGTGCCCAGGTGAGCTTTACGCCATGAAAATAAATGTTAATCTGGTCTTTAGAAATCAATAATCTAACAGTAAATAAAAACAGTAAAATATAAATATTCTAGGCGAGGATTCCCTCTCCGAAGACCCCGACCCGACGTCGACCCCCTCAAGCGCGTCGACGATCGACCGATTCTCCCAGTTGCTCCAACTGCTCGCCGGGCTCCGCTTGTTCAAGGTAGGGCAATATAGCAGAGATGCTTAGGGAAATTTTCGAAACAATACCGATTTTTTAAGAAGATTTTTAAAGTGTGCAAAAAAATTGGTACTGAACCGTTAGCAGGGGGATAATTTTTCATTTCCTATATGGCCCTATAACGAAATATAAATCGTTTTTCTAACATCTCACATAGTTTTTACAGAAAAAGCTCATAAAAATGTATCAATTTTCGAACATTTTTGACTTTTTGGTCAACAAATGTATGAAAAATGAGCAAATATCAAAATTTTCGAATTTAAAAATGTTAAAATATCTTTGCAACCTTCTAGCGATTTAAAGCTACTCAAAACATTCTAAAAAAATTAGTATTTATCATTAACAGGTATAGGCGGAAAATTTAGCTGTTAAAAATCCCCCTGCTAACAGTCGAGTACCGCAAATGTCTCAAACATTTCGCTTCCAAATCCCTTTAGAAGATTAGCTAAAAAATTTAAATATTTTAAAATTACGGAGAAAATGGCAAAAAACAATTCTTACCGAAACCTCTCAGGAGACCGTGCTCGTCGAGCTGTTCTTCTCCGGGTTGATCGGCAACCTCTCAATCGAGACGGTCATCCCGTTCGTGCTGAAGATGGACGTGATGGCCGTGTTCGAGACGCCGTCGACCTCGTCCTCTTTCTCATCGGCCTCCTCGTCGGACTCGATGCCGCACACCGCCTCTTCCACCACCACCACCAACGTGGCCACGCTGGCCACGATGTTGGCGACCAAGTGAAGGAAGAGTGTGAGCTCAGAAGACGTGCCTAAATCTATCGTCATTTTCCCGCCTGTAAATAGTATACCGTTGTTGTCTTCTTCGCCAATTCCCGCGCGCGCCCAAAGTCCAAACCTCCAGCTGCAATATGGATTTGTTTTTATACCTTAAACTTTGTATATTTTTTAAACCTTTAAAATGATCATTTTTGTGTGTGAACCCCGACTCTCGTTTTCAGCGCTTTCAAACTTGTCACCAATTCCCGGGGTTTTTGGGCCTAAAATACGTTTTTTACAAGAAATTATCAAATTTTGCACGGTTTTTGATGAATATTGCTAAGGATGGGGCATCTAATAGCTTACTATAACTTTAACGTACGTTTTAATACGTTAAAAGTAAGGAAATTATCGAATTTCGGCCGGTTCTTACGAATGTTATTAAGTATCTAGGCCGTAAATACCTTGCTATAACCTTAATGTACGTTTTGATACGTTATAAGTAAACGAAATCACAATTTTCGTACGGTTTTCACAGATATTCGTAAGTAATTAGGTATCTACTAGCTTACCAAAATTTTAACGTACGTTTCGGTACGTTGTTTGTAAATTACGATGGTTTCTACCTTAATCCTTCGGATTTTTTTAAATACAAACTCGTAAATTGCAATTTTAGGCCCAAAAAACCCTCCCGGAAAACCCGCAGCTCTCACTCGACTAGTTTTTCGTAGTTTGTAACATGTATCCCCCGATTTCCGCGTTCCTTTTTTGATATATTCAGCCCGCGTGCCCGTTTCTAGAATAGTCAAAGCCCCCACCTTATATCTTCCGATATTCATTTCAGAAAATTCTATTCTATTTTCCGCCCCGTGCCCCCAGATATCACTATCACAGCTCCTCTGAATAGCGGTGAATTGGCCCCCTCAAAAAAGGCCAACCGCCGAAACGAATAGTTTTTTATTATATATAGTAGGATTGGCCCCCACGACCTTCCATTAATGTGAGATCACTACTCAGCCCTCTTTCACAATTTCCGCGCCGTGTGCAGCTTCGATTTGTGTGTTTTTGAGTGTTGTTCAACTTTTCCAAAACGCCCAGCAAAAATTAACAGAACCCTGCAAAACCCACCCCCATCCCCCACGTATCTCCCGTTTGTCATGGATCAAAAAAGCTTTATAAATGTATCATGTATCTTTTTGCCTGTGGATTTTGGTGTATTTTGTAGGCGTTAAAGGCAAATTTCATGTAGATTTCAGGTTTCTACGCCTAAAAACGCACAATTTCTTGCGATTTTCAACATAAAAATAGATATATGAAATCTAAGGCTTAATCATTGGTGTAAGGATTAAAAAAACACAAATGCTAGCTGTTTTTAGCTTCAAAATGAAGCCAAAACTACGAAAAGCTGCTTTGTAAACTTTGTAGAATTGTAAAAAAAAAGACAACTTCGAGCGCTTTTTAGCTTCAAAATTAAGCCCACATAGCCTAAAAATTCTTTAAAAAATTATCTAGAAATTAAAAAAGCAAATTCTAGCGTCTTTTAGCTTCAAAACGAAGCGTAAATTACCGAAAAATACTTTGTTGGGATTCAAGGGCAAATTCTAGTGATTTAGCTGCAAAATTAACGCCTAGAACCACCTAAAACAAGTCAAAATCCACATTCCAAGCCCCCCAAAATCCCCCGCCCCCAAATTACGTAACACACTGGGTCCGCTCGTCTGCCTATATCTTGTCCACCACGCCCCACCTACCGTACACCTCTACAAATAGCCGATGGGTGACAAGATTGCGCCCATCCCTTTAGTCCCGCTAGCCCAGTCCCCCCGATTCTATCGTTAGTGATCCCCCGTTTCCATTGTGCAACATCATCATCTTTCAATCCCCCCATCCAAATCTTTTCAAACTGTGAGCCTCGCACCCCGGATTTACCGTCCCGATTAGTCATCACAACCCCGTCCAGCTCTTTCATCAGTGCCCAGCTAGATTATTTTTTTGTTTTGCCGTTTCGCGCCCCTGTCATTTTTGTTCGTGGTTTTTTATAATAAAAAATTGGTTGAAAACTTTTGGCTTTGCGAGATCTGCACAATAGAACACAGTAGGGTTGGGTTTTGGCGCAACCGGTTTCCGATCGATCGCTTTGCATATCCTAAACGATTAAATCGTTGGACGAAAACCGGTTTCCGGCACCAAACCGATTTAAATCGGTTCACGAGGCAAAACCGGTTTTTGCCAGGCTCGGAAATCGGTTCAGGGTAAAAAAACCGGTTTTTCACGATTCGGTCCCGGAAGTGAAACCAAACCAACAAACCAACAAACCAAAAATCGGTTCGATGCCGGAAACCGGTTTTCGTCCAACGATTTAATCGTTTAGGATATGCAAAGCGATCGATCGGAAACCGGTTGCGCCAAAACTAGAGTGAGGGAGGCCTAGGCTAAAGCCTAGGCTTGCCTAGGCTTCCTCAGGCTTTTCTAATTGGCATCGCCTAGGCTGAGCCTGGGCTATGCAAAGTACGCCTGACCTCTAATTAGTCAGGCTTTATCTGGAAATTTTATGTAAAGTCGTATAATATTCGAATTTTTGCCGAAAAAATAAGGATTTTTTTGAAACTTCCGGGGGTCGAAGAGCTGTATTGGGTCCAAGAATATTCTACAAAGTTAGGGTACTGTTTTTGACAGACCTTACGGCACGATACGTTAATAGCACGCGGATACACAAAAGTCAAGAGTCGGTTCGAACGGGCGGGGGATACAATTGCCTCTCCTGATATCCTGCCTATATGTTTCCCACCTTCGGCCTCCTTGTAATTTGTTATTGCAACAAAAGATACTAACGTTTTAGATGCAGTAACCAGATTAACATGTTTTCACGCATTGCATAAAAAGCCTGCGTAAATCCTTAGGCTTCCGCCAGGCGTCGGCAGGCGCGGAAATGCAATTCGGCCCAAGAAAGCCTGAGGAGGCCTGCCGCTCCCTCACTCTAGCCAAAACCCAACCCTAGAACACAGCGCTTAGCGCGGAATTTAGCGTATTAAAACGGAATTTTCATCGAGTATTAAAACGGAAACGACCACGCTTGCGAAAACCGGTTTTTAGGATAAGGGAAATTTTATCCAGCTTTATTGCGGCTCCGAAGAGCCAGATTTCAGGTAGCAAGCCCTGTTTTTATTCGTTGCTTTTTTTGTAATTAAAATTGGTTAAAAACTTTTGCATTTGCGAGATCTGCACAATATAACACGGATCGGGGTAAAGAATCACCGGTGGGGGAACGGATTGATTAGAGAAGACGAGCAACAAAACAGTCAAAAAGGATAACCGTCATCAATATACATCGATTAGAGTGTTCGGGGGAAACCGTACTAGCGACTGGAAACTGGAAAATTCTAAATAAAACCTTTCAAGGAAAAAAAACTGCAGGGAATTATTCGGCCTTTTTCGCCTCGACGAGCAGGTCGCCACGATAGAAGTCGGCGCGAACTTCGAGCTGGAAACAGGAAAATGGATTGGATTTTCATAACTTCAAGAGTTGGAAGTGTGGATTTTTGGCCCTATTGCATTATCGGGGGGCGTTTCCGTGAATTTAGTTTCAGGTCGAAAAAAAACTTGGAAAAATTATGACCAAAAAATATTTTGTCAATTTCTTAAAAGAATTGTAAAGTTTTTATGTTTAGAGACAGTAATCAACTGTAGAAAAATCTTTTTCATTTATATGAAGTGGATACGATCTTTTGGCTCAAGCCCCTCCCCCGATAATGCAAAAGAACCTTTTTATTCCATCCCACTACACTCACCACATCGCCTTCGGAGACGCAAATTCTCTGCGGGAAGATGAAGGCCGAAATGTTGCAGCCGGCCGACCGCGACTCGTACCGATCCACCTTCCACCAATAGACCACACCATCACAGATACCGCTAGACGTGACCGGGACTCTGTAATTTGCTTTATAAAATAGTTCTTAATCTAGCGACGGTAATCCATCCATCCGAAATTCTTGCGGATCATCTTTTCGATCAAATTTTATATCAGAAGATCGTTCAAACATCCCACCTTGTCGTCAGTGTTCTATTCAGCAGCACCGGCTCGGACGCAATCGTTGTATCCAACGCCGAGTCCATCGAAAAGGGCATCAACTCGAAATTGGCGGACATCTAGAAAAATATAATGCCCTTTTATAACAACAACTTACGGCAGTGTGCGGGAAGTTAGCGGTCGCAATGTCGCGGTACTCGAATAATGAGAAGGGCGCGATCGGGCTCAAGTCGAATCCGAGGTGGCTTGAGGGGTCTAAGCGTCATAGTGATGCTATATAGAAAAACTTACTCGGCCGACTCCTGTTGTGCAAAAAATCGGAAAACACGAGCTGGCCGACGGCGAGGAATTGTCCAGGGAATACTGTAGCATCCATCGAATAGTGCTGGAATTAACGAATTAGTTCGCATAAAGGTAATAATAGCATAATGATTGTTTCATTTTTTAAATGACGAACCCTTGCTGTCGCCACCCAGTCGAGAGAATTTTTGCATAAGGTCCCATCGAGCCGGAATGGCCAATGGAGAATGAGATCCTGTTCGCCTGAAAAAAAAACTATTTGAAATCTCCAAAAAACCAAACCTTGTAAGGGAGCAATCATCACATCCGCTTCTGTTTTGAGCATCACCAGATTTAAAAGGGATAGATCCGGCTGGCATATGGACAGTTTTGCAGAAGGCCTTTCTGTCGCTATCCTAAAAAAAGCACGACTGATCTTGTGATCGTACGAGTTTCGGCCCAATGGATTTCAGTGCAATCTGAAAACCTAATTCCTTACCTGTAAGACACGGCGACGCAAGCTGTCAAATCGTGTACCCGACACGGTGTCTGCTCCGGGATTTGGGCAAGCAGGAGCCTGACCAGAAATTAGGATCAGGTCCCGAAAAGCCTACTCTTGTGCTGCCTTGTCATGCAGATGGAGCACCTCGCCGTTGCTTTGGGTGAAGACGGACAGATGGGGAATGTCACGCTGGAAGTACAATTTTGAAATCTAGTTTTTAGATTTAGATACCTTTCGCTCGGGTATCGAGATTTCCAATCGAGTCGCACCATCGCGCACGGTCCAGGATACAGCCAGCTAAAAAGATCAATTTTCAATGAGTGCCCGAAAGCCACCTCATCCCCAGGCTTCATCTCGAGCGGTTCGAGCAGCGGATAGATGCCGTTCGGCCAACACGACTCATCGCTCATTGTATCAATCGTCACATCACCGTATATTCGAGAGCTATAAAAGTAAGCATAAATAGAATAGCAAAAGTACAAAATAAGAATAGATAATAAAGCCAATTACAAAGACTATAAAAGGAAATATCAATTATTACGATCTTGCGTACTTTACATCTTTATATAGGAAAAGTAAGTCTCCAAAAACTAATACCTAAAGGCTGATGCAATGGCGTGCACTTTCGCTTCTTTCGTGGCCATCAACAGTAAGGTACCATTCATCGGGCTGTCCACCATATCTTCGAGTTGCTACAACGAAATATGCTATACAAAACCTCGAACAACCAACCGCTTCGCTGGTAAAATCCACGCTAAGCGCCGGCGTCCAATCGGAAGCCACGAAGGTATCAGGGTAATCTTTTAAATAGGCTGACCAATAAGGATCCCGATCTAAAGACAAAATTTAGCTTCTTCCCACAAAAAACCTTCTGGTCGGCTTGAAAGCGAGTTTTCCTGCGTCACCCACGTCGAACATACGGCCACATCCCCGACGTACGCAACGTGCGTAGCGTGGATTGATTCCGAGGAAAGCAGCGCCAGAAAGACTGTCGCCTGAATTGTCGTATATACACCCCCCTACACCCCACCCCAACTGCATCAAATTATCAAAATCGCTAAACAAGAATAACGCATATATGCAAACAGACCCCATATTAAATTAAAACGAAAGGTATCCTATAACTCAAACCCGCCGGCCGATAGGGCCAAACTTCCATTCATGGGAAATGGCCACCCGAAATCGCCGTAGGGCCCCGCCAAATTTGGGGGTCTTTTTTTTGGGACCCCGGATGACATTAAAAACAAGACACCTTCTCGGGGATGAATTTCGCATTTGGCGCAGCTATTCGCCGATGCGCGTCAAGCATCGTCGCCACGGTCCCTTCGCCAAAGACACAACAATCCATCGTCTCGCTCAAGATCACCTGCGCCTAAAATGCCATACTTTCAAAGAAGGACTGAAAGGAACAAACCTTCAATGAAATCTCGATCTCAAAAGACCGCTCTTCGATGATTTGGATGCGATTGGAGAGGCCATTCTGTGCTCGGACCTGGAATTTGTACTTTGCCAAAAGCTTATATCTACTTCTCGAGAAATCTTTGCCAATATCGGGTTGTACTCGCACGAGATGACGTTCGGGGTGATTCTAAATCATTGAAAAGGTCTGTAACCCAGAAAAACTCGTACCTAGCGGCGACCAGCGAAAGAAGCGCCGTCCCAGAGCCGATTTCGAAAAGCAAATCGCCCGGTGATGTCTAAAATACAACAGGGTTAATATGACAACAATCAAGTTACCGCTTTTCCAATTGCTTCTGCAAATTTCGCATTCCGTTTCGCATCGTTAATCATTGGAAAATGCCATGCGTCAAACAGCTGAGACTTCTAAAACCAGCTACATGTCAACTAGTACAAAACGTACGAAATTCGCCAAATTCATCCTGTGCGCCACTCGTTCGTTCCCGACGGTCAAACGGATACAGTTTTGAAAGCGCTCGATTGCCTCGCCAACTTCTCCTAAAATTTGCGCTTACATAGTACCAAGAGCAGATCATTCGCAAACGCCTCCAAAAACTATCTATATTTTTCTCTCCTTAGCCCCAAATTACCTCGGTGAAAAGCATCCCGGGCTAGCACTTCATGAACAAGCGCGGATTCGGGAAACAACTCCAATGCATTCTTCCACACCCCATGTGCCATCACCACATCGCTACATCCGGACAGCTGCTGCGCAAGTGCCTTAAAAACCCAAAATTCATCGTCTTCGTGTAAGACCTACATCAGAAAACTCGGCCGCAAAGTCGGCATACCGCGTCTTCTCGTCGACCGTTTTCAGGACGACAAAGTAGTGCAGCAGCGCCTCGGAATGTTCTCCTTTGGCGGTTGCTTGACGCGCCAAGTATAGGGACAACCTCATCTCATCCTGGAATTCCCAATTATGGCTTTTTGAAAGTAAAAAATTGTAAAAAAAATAAATGAAGTTTTAGAAAATATATTTTCTATCATGCTACGCTATTACAGTAGACATAAACGTAATTTGGAGCAAAAAGGAAGGATTCCGCGTGAAGATTTAGGAACGGAATCCGTACATTGGAGCACAGCGGAGCTCAAAAAGGGAATTTTTATTTTGTTTTTCTCTTTTTAGAGGCTTCATTGGTTCGTTTTCTATGTAAATCCGCGCTGCCGATTGGACTTCTACCACCCCGTTTTCGAGCTGTTCAGCCTTGGTTCGGTAATGAATGCGACGAGTACGTACGTAAGAGGGGCAAAATCAAACTTTTTCTCTTTTTCTTGTGGATTCTCAGTTTTTTAGACCATTTCTTCAAAATCTGTGGTTTGTCGAGTCTTCGCGTTATGACTTGCCGAGTTTTTTGCACGGGTATCTGGGTCAAACGCAGATTTTTTTGCAGCCAACCGGGGCGATCATTTCTCGTATAGCGGCCTCCTTAGCAATTCCTTTAGCGCCTAGCGCCTCCAACGGCAATCCGGTGAGTTTATCCACCCCCCTGGGGACGATCCTCGCACAGACAATGTAGCTGTCTGGGGATGGTGGTAAAGGGGAGCGGGGGTCGAGCGCGCCTGCGTCTTCCTCAGCCCTCACATTCGGTGGTGGGGGCGAGGGTGAGCGAGTGTGAGGGAGAGAGCAGAACCGCGGGAGCCGAGGGTGGTGCTGGCCCGATTCCAACAAACGCGACGCGCTGGCTGTTGGCGGGGCGCGTGCTAGCAGCGACTGAGTATGCTGCCCCGGCTCGACAATGGCTACCACACAGGCCTTTGCTTTCTATCTCCGCCCCCAAAACACCCCCACGCTAACTCCTCCCCTACTCGTTCGCACCGCCCGGCGGCTTCACCCCGCCCAACCAGCCGGTGGTTAATCGTCATGGAGCGTGGGAAGATTAGGTGCCGAGCCGGGGTGATTGGTTAACCCCGGGTATCTTGCTTTGAACGGGTGCCAACGCCGTGAAGTGAACCGGGGTTAGGGGCCGGAAAAGGGAAAACCATCGATTATTCATACAATATTCATACATTACGTGCAAAGCTCTTACTGACCACAAATTTGCACATGGTTCTCGGGCAAAATTGACTAATGAAAAGTTTTTGTGGCTGCTTTCGAATCTCGCGGTGTATTGGCGCCCGGCCCGCCGTTGGGGTAATCGATTAGTTGCCCTTCCTAACGATCCTAAACGTACAATGCGGGCGATGTTAAAATGGACTCTTCTCGTTTTCAGGCACTTCAATAATCGTACTTTTGGGATGAACTATTCAGGATCCCTTATGCGGTGGTCTTATCAATGAAGAATTGGCGTAAAAAACTTTTTCGGCCTTCTTGCTTGACTCGATTTGAATTGCAGGGATCCCGGGAGACGGCAGTAGCCTACGGGCATAAATTGAGCGCCACGGCTAATTCCTATAGATTTGCATACAAAATTCCTTGAAAAAATCGTTGTGTATTTTCTTAATTGGTTTACTGAAAAACATCATTCTCATTTACTTCTTACTTACTCATTTCAATTCTTGCTCGCATCGACCCGTGTTACTATGGCTTCCCGAGCCATTCTCGGGCTTCACGTTTCCCCGCGATAGCCGCCAACACTTTGAAATTCCTTTGATTTCAGGAGACCGAGTGGAGCCCCGGGTCACCTCGATATTCCAATACTGTTTGAGAGCATGTCATAGACCGGCCTGCGGCATACCAGCGCTTCGCCAAAATGGAGTACGTTTTTTACAGGGATCTGTTTTTCCTGGAGGGCGTTCTTAATTTCTGGTCTGTTTTCAGAGAAGAAGACTGGTTACGATTCGGGTCCGATTGGGGGCCCGGGACATCAGACGACAGTTTCATAAATGACCTCAACATTCCGTTGCGGGATTCGCCGCCGCCGGTGCAGTATGTCACTGATGTGGGTTTTTCTGTGTTGAGAAGCTTACCTTATTTTTTTGCTTTATAAATTGAAACCTTTTTTGATCATCCAGTCTAAAACGGCAATTTTGGAATGTAATAAAATTCTTGCCCCTTCCAGATGCAACCCCACACTTCGGCAATGGCCACAATGGATCTGGGATTTGACGACGGGTTCAACAATGGTGGGAATTCCGATCCAGGCGTAAATCCTCGTTTAGTGTACGACGAGTTGGAGAACAACACGTACCAAGTCCAAATGACGGCCGTCACCACGCAACAATCCACCTCTTATGCGGAAATGCAGCCGATACAGGCGACGGTGAGCCAGGCGCCCGGATTTCTGATTAGAATTTTTATTTAGTCCTCTCACAACTATCAAGAGCCGGTGCAACAAATGTATGTGGAAGCGCATGGGACGCAAGAAACTAGCTACTATCAGGTTTTTTTTTTTGTTTTTTTTTCACGTGAAAACTAAAACAGTCCCACTAACGCTTCCTTTTAGTATGAGCAAGTGCCCGTCACGCAGCCGCCACAGCTAATACATCAGATGCAGCCCCAGACGAGCGGCCATATGCAACAAATGGTTTGTAGTTGTTTTTAGATTTTTAAATTTAGAAATGGTGAGACAATTACATTTATTTCAGATGACGTCGTCTGACTATATGCAGGTGGAGCCGTCGACATCGCAAATTGTGGACCCCGTAGTGCTGCCCCAGCAGTCCAACACGCCACAGCCAGCGGTATTCTGGCCTCAAAATCAGCGACATTCTTTTTTAGAAGCCCAAGTCGAATCGAAGCTCGCAGCAAAATCGGTCGAGTGCACAGAGAAAGGGCAAAGCTGGTGGGTTTTGAAGCTCTTTTATTTTTCTCCGTTATTTATCATATTACATTCTTAACAACCATCTGCTACTTTAGCTGCTGCAGCGACCAGTAATCAAGCGCCGCGACAACAGCCCAAGAACCCAGACAATTCCCAGCAAACCGTCTGTCTCAGCCAAGAGGAAACACAGTTGATGTCCCAAATTATGCGAGGTAATAGGCACATGAAAGGTCAAACATTTCTTTGTTTTTTAGAGCTTCAAGAAATCGCAGCGCAATTGGCGGCAACGGAAGACGAGGATATCAAGAGCAACTTGGTGCAGAAGAGGAAGTGCGTGTTTTTGCGACCAATTTTCGAATGCCTGGCAGCGAAGCGCTAATCACCGGCTTTTCAGGGAGCTAGAGGAGACTCAACAGCGCATCCTTCTGTCACAGTTGATGAAGCAGAACGCCTCGTGAGTTGATAATCGCAAATTTTCCTTGATTTCGATCTTCACACAGACTTTACTTTGGAAAAGTCGTTGTTTCGCTGTATCGCTTCAATTCGTCGGGTTTAGGAATAGAAAAAAGAAAATACTTTCTGCATTATTGATAATCCGGAAATTGGACCCTAATGGAAAAAGTCTGTGGCCCCGATCATGTGATAATCCGATAATTCCAAACAAAATTATTTTGCTTAAGGCTGGCCGCTCAAATCTCGGCACCAGCTATGCAGCAACAGGCCCCGGTTGTACAACAACCACCTCCTCCACGGCCTCGTCCAGCACCCCCCGCCAGGCCGCCGGTGCCCAAGGTTGGTTTCGCGATTCTCGACTTGCCAATTTTTCTGCCATACCTTTTCTCGTTCTTTGCGCTCGGCTTTTGTCGCCCGTTCCGTTTCCGTTGCCTGCCCGCCCTTGAATGGGGCGGAGATCTGTCCAATTGCGGGTGGTGTTGGGTTGCTCCTAGATAGGCCAAAACTTGACTTGATTTTTCTGAGAACTTCCAGGAGCAATCCAGTGTGTCGCCAGTATTGGCGAGCTGTCCGGGCCGCCGGCCCTATCCTTCTAGATGTCCGGGTCTGGGTTGGATGCTGACGGGTGTCGTGTCCAGGGTTATTTTTTGGGGGAGGCATGGTTCGCCGTGTTGGATGTTTTAATTTTTGAAAAGTCTGAAGGTTACTTTAACTAGATCTGGCATTATTTAGGCCAAATTCACCCTGAAACCCGGGGATTTCATGACGCGTCCGGTTCTTATCCACATTCCAAATTCTTTTTAGGCAAGTTCAAGTTTTCAGGTTTTTTAAGCGCGTTTTTCGAATATAGAACCGGAAGCTATTTTTTCCTGACCTCTTTCCCGCTACAATTTACTTTTTTTTTAATTTTCCAAAACGCCAACCATGCCTTCCACCTCCTCACCAATCAAACCTGCAACTAACGCACACACTCACCATCCCCTCCAACCTTTTAGAGCAACGGTCCGGCCCAGCTGAAGGTGCTCCAAAGGCAGGGCTCGGGCACGACCCTGGCCCCGAAACGCTCCCAACCCAAGAAGCCACCTCAACAACCCGTCGAGCCACAGCCCAAGACCATCCAGGTCATCCAACAACCCGACGGCAGCCTGGTCTGCGTCGAAACGGGCCAAGTGCTGAGGGCCAGTATCGAGCCAATGACCAAACAGCCACCGGCCACCATCACCCCGCCGCCCGAGGCCGTCGCCGGACACACCGATGGCCCACCGCTGCTACACCCCGAAACCGAGGCCGCCCATGCATCTACCTCGGCCATCACCATGCTCTCCTCGACGGCCAACGACGGATATTGTGAAGTGAAGGTGCCGGTTTTATTCAATTTTTGGTTCTTTGGTATTTCCAGGGGGGAAAAAACTGTTCTTGGGTTCCAGATCTTGCTAGATAGTTTTGATACGATTCTTACGCCTAAAAAATTCATTTTGTTTAAAAATACGCCGGAAATTGTTATTTTTTTTAATCCAAATTCGAAATTGAATACGGTTTACACTTTTTCAATATAGTTAAATTTTAGTTTACTATAACCGTTATTAAAATAATTTCTATGAAGTTACTAGGCACATCTGGATTTATGAGCGAAAAATTCCGTTCCTTCTGGAAATACTCAAGAACCATTTTTAATTTAGCTTTATGCATTTTTATTGGGTTCGGCGAGCACCGCCTGGGCGTCCAATTTATTTCCTGCAATCCCAGTCCAAATCGTCTACCCCCCGGTTACGTAACATTTTGTTGAAGGGGCTGTGAAGAAGAAGATTGCGCCAAAAACAAGGCTACACTTTATTTTACAGCCTTTAATCCAGCTTCACGCCCCTTTATAAGCACTTTTCCCTGGGCCACCCCTGGTGTCGGATAAAAAAATTGTTTTGCAGGGTTTTCAGGAGCTTTTAGTGCGGGTACTAATTCAACAAGACTAGCAGCAATTGATACTGTTTTTGAATTGACGAGTTTTCTAACGTTTGAACTAATCGGGTGCGCTTGATCTTGACAAACAAACCCGATAAAACCTAACAGGAGGTAAAGTAAATTTGGAGAATAAATTGGAGATGAGAGAAATTAGCTTAGTTTTACCCTTAAATGTTGCTAGGGGCTAGGGGATCTTGTACTACGTGATTGTCTAGCCGTGTGTACATGCAAAAATCTTTTTTTTGTGTGTTTTCTGTCTTCATCGCGCCTTCAGGTCCAACGAGCACCCCCTCAGCCTCAACCCCAACAGTCGCTTCAACCCCAACAGCTCCAACATCATCCCCAGCCTCCCCAGCAGCAGCAGCAACAGCCGCAACAGCAACAGCAATTTTACACGAGCACGCACAGCTTGCAGGTAGATTGATAGAAGTGATGGATTTAGTTCTATTTTTTTTGGTTATGCCAATTTGCGATACTTTTTGACGGCATGTTGCGGGTAGCGGTATTTTGCTATTATGCGCATTTTTTGGTGGTGGCATTTAGAGAATAGCGGGTGCAAGTATGATTTTTCTAGAAAATTAAGCCATTAACGTTTCTTTTTCGCCTAAATCAAAGGTATTTCCTAGGCGAAAAAGAAAAAAGAATAAACCAAAGTATAAGTGTTATAGAAAATTAAACGGTTAGCGTGGGGTTAAATTTTAAAAACTTGCTACATTAAAAGTATTCCCGATAACGAAAAGAATATTAATAACTTTTTCAGCCTGTAACAACCACCAACATCCAGCAGCAACCTCAGCAAAATGTGCAAATCACGACGGCACCCCTGCAACGGCGTCCGATGCAAAAGGTTGCTTTTAACGTGCCGGGAAATTTTACCGAAACATTTATTTTAGCAGCAACCCCCTCAACAGCAGCAGCAGCAACAACAACAGCAACCAACCGTCGTCTACGTACAGACCGGGCAGGGCCAGGCGGCGGTCGTCACCCAGCATCAGTACATCCAACAACCACCCCCACAACCCCTCCATCACCAGCAGCCTGCCCCCACCCAGATCGTCACCAATCAGGTCATCAATTCGCGGAATAGCATTGTACGTTTTTAAAACCTCAATTTTGATACTTGGATTGTTCCTCTACAAAACCGGCCTTTTAGTCCACCGAAACGATGAAAATTGTCGCGGGCCAGCTGATCTCGCAAAATCCGGGGGTTGAGCCGACGGTGAAAGATGTACGTTTTAAAATTGCGAATAGTATATTCAAAAAAATGTTAGGTAGTACGCGTGGCCTCCGGACAGCAGACTGGCCGCTACACACTACCGGCGCAGAACAATAGAAGGCAACAACCGTTGATTCTCACTTCCACCGGGGCCCAACCGCAAGTGGTCGTTGGAAAGGTACTTCAGGGAATATTCTGACTAGAATGAAGTATTGGACGATAAATCTGAGAATATTCTGGAACTGTTCATTTGCTTGACGTCGTTGAATTTCATATTTTTTAGGTGGTGACACACCTGCCACCGGGCATAAACCTAGCTTCATTGCCACCTGGTACTCACCAGGTCGTCATTGTTGATCAGCCACCTCCTCCTGCTCCCCCTCCGCCACCTCCAAAGCCTGTGGTAAGCCTAACATGCTTTTGTGCTTCTTCTGCTTGCTTTTTTGCGAATCATAAACGTTATGATCGAGTCTCTCAGCCGTTATAATTAAGCTGAAATTAGTCTTCATAAAAACGACGTATATTTAGATCACCAAGATGCCGGCCGCCGAGTGCCAGAAACGCCTAGCCGAGCGACAAGAAACGCGTGCCACCCGGTTACGCAGCTTCTTTGACGACATGACCGAGCGGATAGGGCAACCGGAAAGCGAGCGGCCCTTCTCGTCGCTGAAGGACGTCGTGGAGCGCTTGTTGCCATACGGGCTGAGCGACGAGCCGCCGCTCAAGCCTGAATATGAAGCCGAGTGTGAGTTTTTAACCTTACTCTTTAGGATACTGATTAAATTGGGACAGGAAACAAAAAACTAGTAAGAAGGGGCCGTTTTTAGGTGTTGTTATAGAGTTTTCGATGTTCTGATATACCTCATTTGAAAGAGCTTGCGATTTTGGACCAGTCCAACCCTTCGAAAGTTGTGAACAAAAACGGTCTTGGGTAGAACGTTTCTAAAACTATATAACGAAACGAACTATAGCCACCTTTTCAGAGCGAATTTGCTCCAAGAACGTAATCGTTTGATTTTTTCGAAGAGGAACTTACGAAGAATTTCCAGCTTATCGAACGAGCTATATCACATCGCAAAACATCATTATTACACGAAAACAACGACCCTTTTTTAGCATTTTGCGAAAGGATGGATAGCCTCTGCAAGCCGCCATTAATGCTGCAACCTAGCGCGCGACCAGCCTCCCTCTCCCCCCTGCCCGGCCCCATTTTCAGCGTTTTCAGCATTGCTGAAAATACTGAATTTCGGCCAAATAAATAGAACATTTCGTGATCACCTACTACCGCCACCTTGGCCGAGTGGTCTAAGGCGCCCGACTTATGATCGGGTCCGGGTAACCGGGCGCGGGTTCGAGGTACAATTCGGATAAGCGGGGGGGAAAATTTTAGGCGGGGGGGAAACAACTTTTTTTTAGTCGGCCCTGGTGGGGATAGTAATCAAATATAAAGTGTTTTCACATTGTTTTTAGCAAAATTTAAGCATATTTGAATCGGCAAAACTTTTTAAAAAGTTAGAAAAACGCTTGAAAAAGTCGAAAATTTGGTCATTTTGGGCCGAAAAAAATTGATTTTTCGACCTAAAATTAAATTTTTTAATTAAGTTTTGTAAACTTTTTATGTTTAGGAATAGATATAAACAATTTAGAAACACTTCCACTATTTATGTAACAAATATAGGCTTGGGCGGAAAGTTCGGTTCCCCCGCCTAATTTTCCCCGCTTATCCGAATTGTACCCGGGTTCGAACCCCGCAGGTGGCAAACTTTTTGCTTCTTGCCCAAAATTTTTGCCAGATTTTTCTATGACCTCGGGTAGCACCCAGTCCTAGTTTCCGGCGCAGTTGATTTTTTACCTGCCAGAAATTGGAAAAACCTGATCGGGTCTTTTTTATCTTATTATATTTGTTCTTTTTTTAGTTGACAACAACCTGATGCGAAGTTTCCTGAACCTCTCGATGAAGCAGGACAACCTGATGAAGCGCGTGGGCCGGGCATTTTTGCAAGAGTCACAGGTGAGGAAAAGAATTCCGTCTTAAAATGCTTTTTAGCGCGAGTGCAACATGCAAGAAAAGAACCTGCTGCTCTACCTCGACCACGAATATGAGCGGCGGAAATTTGAGGCGGAAAAGGCGTTGACGAAGGAGGAAAATGGGCATGGTCAGTATTTCTTCCTATTTCTAATAAAAGCTAATTCCAGAAAGGCTGATCGAATCCTCGACGCTGATCCCGGCGCTGCGAGAAGCTGGAATTTCGGACCCAAAGGCGGTGGCCCGTGGACGTGGAGGACCAGCGCCGCAACGGCCCAGTGTAGGTTTTTATCCAGAACCTTCACACCCCGTAAGTCATGAATTAGGGATCCCCCTCAGCAAACTCATTTTTTAGGTGTTCTCCCAAGCGCAGGCCTACGAGTACTACGATTTTGATGATGTCCCCTCAACGGCACCCCGGCCACCTCCATCCCCGTCGCCACCACCTTTTGAAAGGGTTTGTTTTTGTGTCTTCGTGATTTTAAAAGGTAAAAATAAACTTCAAAATCCAAAAATTTAAGAAATAAAATTTTTTAAAAGAATCCCTTCTTTAGATGCCGTCCCCTTCACCATCATTATCATCGATTATGTCCTCTCCCTCCTCGTCGGTTCGCTGTTCCAGTCGAAGGTCTTCCATCTCACCGGAGAAAGCCGTCAAGGAGATCAGACGGGAACCACCGCCGAGGGTAAGCTTTGATGCCGCAACGTGCAATTTTTGTAATTAAACTAAAAATACCATCCATGTTTTCAGTTGCCAGTTGTGCGCGTGCCGCCCCCGATGCCGAAGGTATTGGCGCAGAAGCAGGAAAAAGTGCCGAAAGAGGAGCCGCCCACGCCCAAGCTTGATCGGCTCGAGAAGCCCGTTCCGGCCGTGAAGCCGAAAATGGCTGAAAAGGCTGTGAAGGTGGAGAAAGCGATCAAAGTTGAAGCTGCTACCACGCCCCGATCCCCGTCGGTCGCCAAGCCCGCGCCGGTGCAGCGTGTTGAGAAAGCCGAGGAGAGCAATATTAAGGTTTGTTTGTACGGCCTATCTTTTTAAATTCCTGGATTTATTTTCCCTTTCAAATTCTGGAAAAATAGTCAGGAAACTGTGTCTCAAAATAAAGACGAAATTCCAGACCATCCGCTCACCTCGCGCATCATATCCGCAGCCGCTGAAGATGCGGGCGAAGGCCCACGATCGCAAGGAGCGCGAAGAGGACAAGGTCGAGGTGGCGCCGCCAACAATCCTGAAGAAGACGACGGCCTGGGAGCAGACCAAGGCGCAGCAGGCGCTCGCCCTGCAGGAGACGATCCGTGCCGCGTCAATGCCCATCAAGAAGCCGGTATGCCTTTACCACAGCTTGACAGTTAGCACTTTTATTGCCGGTTTGACAGCAAAACCATACGCTTCATACTCGGGGTCAAAAAAATAACACGGGGACTCTCCTAATACTTGGCTACTTATCAAGGTCATCCATAAGCGGATGAGCTGCACCTCCTGACAACCCATGGTGTTGCCTCTTATTTGGGGGATTTTTTCAACCTAATCCGCTTTAGCCCTCGCTTCCGGGCACCTGCTCTCCGCTAAATTTTTCGTACCAGAAGCGTTTTTCGATTTCCTTTTTTTCGCTCTTGCAAAAGCCACAGGGATAATTTGATACCAAACATTGTCGCACCTACACTAACCGATTACATTTATGTTATTTAGGTACCAAAGCCCACACCACCACCCCCGGAGCCCGTCGTCTCACCACTGAAAATTCAACCACGCGTGTGCCGGACAGAGTCCAACCTCGAAGAAGAGGCTTCAGACGACGATCGCGGATCGGTGTCACCCGAACTTGGCGAGGCCCCACCCCCTGCTGTCATAGCGCCGAAGCCGATGCTCGTCCCACCGAAGCCCAAGATTGTCCCCATCCGCTTGCCACCACCGCGCCCTAACCGGATACGGGTCAAGGATGAGGCCAAGGTACAGAATTGCTGATTTTTAGCAAGTGCTGAGCAAACTATACTGATGTCTAATCGGGGAGTTCTGCTTGCGCTAGATTAATCAATTATGCAATGCAAATAACCTTAATATTGGGGGCAATAATGTAATTTCTAGGCCGAGAAAAGTGGAGCGACGCCAGAACCAGCTCGAATTCCACCAACCCCTGCGGTTAAGGAGGAAAAGCCGGCCGAAGAACCACCAAAGATCCAACAACCCGTACCGATCAGATTAAAGGTATATTTTACTCTACCTTCTAATATTTGCCGCCACTTCAGCTGAAGCTCGGCAACATGGTCGAAGAGGTGGTCGTCGCGAAACCACCGGGCCCCCGATACACCGCCGCGTTTGTGCACGAACTGCGCCGGAAACAGAAGCTCGAGAAGAAGGAGAAGAAAAAGAAAAAGAAGGAAAAGCGAGAGCGGGAAAGGCTTGAGAAGGAAAAAGCAGCGCGGGTTGTGGAAGACTACGGCAAAGACCAGAACCAGCCGCCGCTGCTCAACGGGACGCACTCGTGGAATGGAAAGGTTTGTGTAATCATTTCCTAAATTTAAACCCCTTTTTCAGCACCACTACGACGACGAGCCGTGCTGCTCGAAATCGCTGAGCCCCGAGCTGCCCGCAGCCAACACGAGCGGCACGCTGGTGTTCAAGATCAACCCAAAGGTTTGGGATTAGAATTTGGTGAAAACGGAATGTTTAGAGCCTAAAAATGCATGCTGTTTCGCCATCGGCTTCCCGGTCGAACTCGCCCGCCGTCTCGTCGAGGCCATCATCAAGATCGAATTCTTCTCTGAAGATCCGTACCTCGCTGGGCAATAGTCGAGGCGCGTCACCGGCAATTCCGCTCTTAAAAATAGTAAGATTGCCCGAAAAGTTTGAATATTTTTTTCTAGCAACGTGATTCTCCGTCGGAACCTGCCGTGCCAAAACTACGGATATCGCTCAAGTTGCCGAAGCCGGAGGTCAAGGAGGAGCTGAAGCCCGTCGAGCCCGAAAGGTTGAAGCGCCCTGAGCCACCGACAAATGGCCACGTCGTGGTAAGTTACTTATAATTATTTTGATACACATAGAAAGGGAAATTCTTATTTTTATTTTTTCGAAATGGATAGCAAACCAACTGATTACTTAAAAGACTTAAACCAATTGATTTTTTTACCTTCTAACTATTTTCAGGAACCAACACCACCAAAGCTTCCGCGCCTGAAGCTCAGCCTCGGCGCGTTGAAGATGCCTGCCCCGGAGCCCGTCGTGCCTGTGCCCGAGCCCGTTGTCGCGAAGCAGATTCCGGCACCGGTCATAACGCCACCGAAGAAGGTGCAGCCGATCAAGCTGGCCGCCAAGCTCCCGCCCGCCCGGGTTGCCCAGCCTGTCAAGCAGCAGCCACCTCCACCGCCGATACAAAGAGCATCCGACTGCGGCCGAGCGCCCTTCACGAGACCGAGGTTCGTATTTGGTCCTGAGGTTTAAATCGAGTTGATAAAAAGGTGTTTTTCGAAAATCATCCTTCGGGGAATCAAAGTTTAGGGAAATTTGCATGGCAATTTTTTTCCTTTTTGGCCTATTATGGTAAATTTTCGAAATTTTGGATTTTAAAAAAGTGATTTTCGGATAAATCAATTTTCAAAAAAATTTCGGTTAATAACATGTATTTTCAGCCCGCCACCCGTCCAAAGAGCAGCTCCCAAAACGCCGGTCAAGTTGGACGAGCCCGTTTCGGTGAACCCGTTAGTGGCTCTCCGCAACGCTTCCCGACAAGTCACAGCCCAGGTACCCTCTTGGAAAATGATTTTTTAAAAGCCCATATCTAGCAAATCTTCGGAAACCCCGGCCGCCCTCACTTCAAGAGCACCGGACCGCGGCCGAAATCCGCCACCGCGCGCCGACCTTCCTCGCCCAAGGCCCCAGCGCCCGTACCACGGCTACCCGCGGCTCGACCACCACAACAGCCCGTGGTTCGGACGCCGGTGGTTGCGCCGCGAGCTCCCGCCCAGCCACAGGGTGGCGTTGCTTTCTCGGATGATGGTACGTTCGAAATTATTTTAAAATGAAAAATAGTGCTATTTTGCGATGAGAATTTCAAATTATCAGCGGTTTTCGAAGTTTTCCGAATGGTTTTTCCACTGGAAATTCGCTAAATTTTCCTAAACAATTTTTGTTATCCCATGCTAATATAAAGGCCCTAGAAACATCTCTTCGCCCTCATTAGTGAGATGAAATGACTTTTTTTGGCAAGAATAAATTTTATTTTAGATGAAGACGACGCCGCCGACACCACCACCGCCCCAGCAGAAGATCATCTCGAGGATATGCTGGCCACCTGGGGACTAACATCCAACGTCCCGATGCAACAAAATAGCATGAAGAACACCAACGGCTACATGTAACAACGATGCCACAACTGCCTCCCCCAATAATTAGGCTTTTTCAATTCCTCATATTGTCTGTATATTCACTAACTGCTGATCATCCTATCAAAATTCTCCACTTCACCGACACCTCATTACTACACGGGTCTTCCACGATCATTTATTAGCCGTGATTTAAACCTATTTTTATTTCCGTGTGTGTTTGATGCCTTCCCCGCCCATAGATACCAACACAACGTACCCCCAAATGTGAATCAAAGACCCTTTCAAAGCCACCCTGTTCTCTTGTCATTGTGCCTGTCCCGAATCTTCAAATACGGTTGTGCTGAGCAGTATTTCCCCAAACACGTCCCCATTTTTTTTGTAATACGAAAATTTTCGATCATACTTCGGCCTCTGCTACAAGTCATTTTGCTCAAGCGATGCGTTCCACTTTGTCATCTCGCCCCTCGAATTTGTTCACTTTTCAGCCATGAAGGTCGGGTGGAATTGAGTGTCAACCTCATTGAACTAGTCCACCAATTCCCACCCCGCTTTCCGATCCCTAGTCGATTAGTAATAACCTCCCAAAATTCACCACTAGCAGCTTGTCCAGGATTTTGGCGGTGCCAAAACGCTGTCCCCCCTTCATTTCTCCGTCATATGCTCACTTTTTCGGTTTCCACTTGTTGAGTGACCAAATCCTGCTAACGGGCGATCCAATTTTTTGAAGTAGTAAAATATATTGTTTCACTAGGGCTGGCCCTAGCATTAGCTCCAGATCCTAACCATTACCCCCCTGTTCTCGCCTCGCATGCTCCACGGTGCTTTATAGAAATCTGTTACCCTGTCCTCATACCCTGTAAGACCCGCCCAAAGCACGATTCTGCGATGGCAGCGTCGCCTGTAAGCCCTAACTGCGCGACCCGTTGCCTGAACATACTTTGCCCAACTCATCGCCAACCTCGTACCCATTTCTCGTCATACATATACTCACAAAGCCTAGAGGGAAGTGTGCTAACTATTAACGTGATAAACTTTATTCTATTTTTGGAGTTGTAAACACACTGGATATAAGTATGCAGAGCAGCGGTGTGAAAACAACACGATGCAGACAAAAACATAGCAAGTTTTCAAAAGTGAAGCTTTTTCCTTACGGCACGATCCAAGATCAAAAAAAATTTTTTTTCGAAAGCCTACGCCACATTACACAGTACGGTTTTTGTTCCATGCGACAACACAGTACGCCATGACGATTCGGATTTTCGCGTTCTTGGTTTTTCGATTTTTCAAGCAATTTTAAATTTTTTTCGGGGACGGGTTTCTACCTACCGTTTTGGACTTTTTTATCGTATTTCTATTTTTTTGCAACGGTCAACACCTTTTTTTGCAGAATGGGTAGTACATCGGTGACCATCTCAAACCAGGACAGCCTGAAAAGCTGGCTGACGGCTGAGCTTGCGCCTTTGTAAGGACATTTCGCTGGTTTTAAATTGTGTTTGTGATAATAGGTGTGATGCTGAGCTGGGTACGCTGGTCAGCTACATTTTCGCCTTGCTGAAGAAGCCGAACAAGACCGCCGCCCAACTGAAGGCCTTTTGTCTTGCGCAACTCGAGGTCTTCCTTCATGCAGGTAACGTTTGCGTTACTTTGGCCTTTCTATCCTTGCATTACAAGTGTTTTTCAGATACGAAGCCGTTCATAGACAAGCTGTTCGATGTGCTCGAGCACGACTCCTACATCGCTGAGCGAAATGTGACCACGAAGCAAACTGACGAGCACCACAGCGACGTCGAGTCCAACGAACGCGAAGAATCTACAAATGTCAAGGCGGTGGCCGAAGGCTCTGGCATGAGAACTGCCGTGGTTTCTGAAGAAACCAAGCCGTTAAAGGTATGAGCGTGAGCAAGCTTAAATTTTTGTTTAGTGCATCGACGGCCTTTCGAAGATGGATACGCTGGGTGCTCAAGCGATGAGCCACGACGAAAAGCCGGTGAAACTACAAGTGGTTCTCAAGACGGAGCCGTAAGTCTTTTTTGCGTTCTATTACGTGCCGCTTAGTGAGCCGAATTCCCAGCTCGTCGCGGAATTGCAGGCTGTCGACGTTTCGGTGAAGCCTGTGCGAAAGCGGATAGTCCCTCCATCACCGGTAAACTTTTCTTTGGCCCCTGATAGGCGCTTTAGGAAGCGATGCGTAGCCGCCTCCGTTCTCCCGTCTCACACCGTCGTGATGAGCGCCGCTCGCGCCGACGATCTCTTGAGAAACGCCGGCGCTCTCGGTCACGCTCCCGCTCAAGATCGCGCAGCAATGAACGCATGCGAGAGGAGCGTCATAAGAAGAAAATTAGATGCTGTGATTATGAAAGTTCGTTTTTTCACCTAGGAGGATGAGGGATGTATATTAACGATGTGCTTCTCCTCTGCCTAAAATATGTTCCCATATAATCTGCACGTTTTAGAGAACGGGCTCTGCATCCGCGGCAACAAGTGCCCTTTCGATCATGGGCTAGAAGCGGTGACGGTTGGCAATCCCACGATCAAGCAGCTATCCGGAAACGGCAACATGGAAATCGTCAAGATGGAACCCCAGGAACCGCCATCTACCGGATATATTCAACAGCACGGAAGCACCCAGCCTCCGCCACCCGGCATCCTTACAGAGGGTATTTTTGCTAACCTTTTATAGTATTGAATTTTAGCTTACAATCCTGATTCGCCGGCGCTTGCCCCGATGTTTAACTTCTCGGTACCACCCCCGCCAATCGCCGTTCCAAATGCTTCCGTTTCGCCGCAGTGGCCGGGACCATACGGATATGTTCCTACCCCGCTTCACGTGCTTGCCGCCCAGAAGGTCTGTTTTTTCAGGAGATCACTTTTTTTCTTTTTTTATTTGACCGGCTGTCCTTTCTAGGCCACGGAATCGAACAACGGCGCCTGTGTGTCGACAGCTCGTGGTCGGGGCTACTTTCGTGGACGCGGTCGCGGCGGAGGTCGATTCGTCAGCCAGGGGCGCTGCCTTGAAGTCCGCAATCTTCCAATGGAGTGCAATACCATCGAGTCGCTGAATGGCCACTTTTCACGCTTTGGCAAAATTGTTAACCTCGAAGTGCGTATCTTTACGGACAGAATTACCGTTCTCTTTAGGTGCACTACGAGCACGACCCCTTCGGAGCCCTCATCACCTTCTCTTCGAATTTTGAAGCCAATAGCGCCTACAAGTCGCCGGAGCCTATCTTCAACAACCGCTTCGTCAAAGTATTTTGGCATCAGCCTTCCCCGAAGCCGACCCCGGTTGTAGCAGAAATGGTATAGTCCCATATCTTTGCAGTAATGTAGTTTTTGCAGCGCTCACGTTCGCCATCCCCGATGAGTGATGATCTCGATGACGATGAGTATGAGGTGCTCACGGAAGTTCCAAAGGTTGCCTATTTGAATTGCTGGAAATATTGCTTTAAGATTGCCCTTGGGTCACAGACTGTCTACATGGACCCCAAGTTGGAGGAGGCGCTCTTCCAGAAGGCTGAGGAAAAACGAGCCCGCGAGGAAATGAAGGTTTATTAGAGTGATTACAATAAACTTGTTTTAGGAACGAATGGTGATCCTCTGTCAGCGTCAAGAGGGGCAGAAGAACGGCATCGATCGCTATCTAAAATGCCAGAAGGAAGCTGTAGAGCTCGCTCGGAAGCAAACAAATCCCGCCGCCAAGAAGAAGGCACTGAAGCTGTGCATGGAGTTGAAACAAAAGATGGAAGCACTGCGTGAACAAGTATGCCTTCTTAAGATTTTTCTACTCTGCGTTTCCAGCGCAATACCACGTTGGCCGAAATAGCAGAACTCAAGCCGAAGTTGGAGCCAAAAGCCACCGAAGAAGCGGTTGAAATGAATCCTGTCGATGATCAACAGGAGCCCATTGACATAAAGCCTGCCTCGATCGAGGTCGCATTAAAGGATGAGCCTATGGTATTTTTTTTCTTTGTCTTTTGATTTCGGATCTAGGAAGATGACGAAGTCGTTGTAAAGGTCTGAAGCGCCTGCGCCGAGGATCGTGCAATTCGCCAAGGATCAAGCATTTTCCACACGCCGTTGGTGCTAAATTTCCTTTTGTTTGCCCGTTTGTTTTAATTTCGCTGTTTCTAATCATCTCAACCCTTGATAATGTTCTTTTCGACTCGTCAGAATTTTGATATAATTCTTTTGTTCGCTTTTGTTTCCTGTAACGTTTGAAAGACAAATAAAAAATTGTGACTTATTGGGGCAAACGACACTTGGTTGGCAGCAGTTATATCTTATTGCACTGGCGACTGGTTCCAAAAAGCTTATCGCGCGGGTGCGCAGCTACAATAAAACCTAGGCGGCCCTATCGAACGCGCTTTCGTCATGTTCGAGTGCTCGATGCCGTTAAATTCGAAGGTTCGTAACTTTCCGCGAAGTCGATATCTTCCAGGATGCCGTGGACATGACCAACGTGAGACAAATGCCCGACGAAAATTCGAATGTGTGTTCATAATAAATTCATGTTCGTTTCTAATCTCTGATAGGGTTACTCGGAGATGCAACTGGAGAAAATAAGTAACAAGAAGATGTCTGATCTCGTGAGCTGGGTGCCTGACACTCCGGCCTTAAAAAAGGTATTAGCTCGCTCCTTCCTTAAAAACATTTTGTTAGAGGGCCGTGAAAGAAGTCTCCGAGAATCGAGAGTTGAAGACCGCGAAGCTCGAGTTCCAGGCACCCGCGAAGACAAGCTCGGTCCAGGTATGGTTCGATACCCCTTTACCCTGGACCCATGGTTTTTAGGTGAAGCTCGATGCGCAGGGCAACTTGGTGGTCGACAAAACCAGCTTGCTTGTTGAAAAACCAAATGGTCCGGTTATCAATCATTGGGAATTTGTCGAGGAGGTACGTAATTTTGAGAGCTGATCAATATCTTTAGCACAACGATCACAACACGAACTCTTTATCCTTTCGAAAACGGCCTTGGATCAAAAGTCCCTATTGGAACGAAAAAGAAACGGAATTATTCTATGGTGGGTTCTCTCAGGATGTGCATAACATGTGTTCTAGATATACTCCGAAGCACGGGCCCTGACTTCACGCTGATGGCCGAATTTTTCAACACTCGCACCAGTGAAGCACTGAAGAGGAAGTACCGTGCGGAATTGAAGGCCCATCCAGACCGTATCAACGAAGTAGAGGCCGCCCCCGTTACTCTCGATCGGAGTCTATACATGTACAGCGAGAGGGCGCTCGAAGCAATTTCGAAAGAAAAGCTCGAGAAGGCGCTAGCTAAGAAGGTTGGCCGGGTTTTGTTCTTATTTACATCAAATTTTTAGAAACAGACCAGTGAAGGCTGCTATTTGGAAAGGGCTGCTGCGCAGCTCTTGCAGCAACTGATCGCCGAAGCGGATTCAGAAACATGTGATGCGTAAGCCGAAGAATTTTAACTCTTATTTTTTTCCATTCAGCCCTGTGGCCACCGTTGAAGTGCAGAAAATTCCGTCGATCGAGCCACCGCAGAAGTCCGAAGCCGTGATCAACCTTTTGGTAAGCATGATCTGAACTTTTCCTGAGAAAACCTTTTAGAAAAGCATTCGCCCTGAGCTACCAGATGCCGATGTTCCGCCGCCACTCAAGAAGCTCAAGGGCTATGGTACGTGTTTTGGTCCTGATGTTTAGACAATTTTTGCTTAGGTGATAATTGAGACCAGCTGATTCTACGATCGTTTTATTCTTCAACAAAATACTTTCCCATTTTGCACAGTTGTTTGTTTGCTCGCTATGACGATAAATCCTTTTGGTTAATCCTCCTTTGAAAATTTACAAAATTTATTATGGCTAGTGACCGATTGAATGCTCGAGATTCGACTTCACACCCAATATCATGAAAATCAGACCGAAGCTGACGATTACGGCATTGACGAGGAGCCGGAAGGACAATTTGGCGGGGGTTTCTTTCGCGGACCATCTTGGATAGAAGGCCACCGTCTAAATTTAGGTTCAGTTAATGGATTTGATGTGTTTGAAGTCTACTACTGGTCACTAAGCTAACCTCTACGATTGGTGGCACAATTAACGCCAACAGCATTCCACACGTCGCGCCGACGAGTGGTATAATTTCCGATAAATTCGGTACAAGCAACGCTAGGGCCACTATAATGGCGGCTTTATTAGAAAAGCTTGTTCCCCACTTGTCAGGATGACGATCGCGTATCTGTTCACATACTCCGTCGCTCGTATTGCAGCCTTCGACCAGCGCCGATCCTCGAGCAGCTTTTCGAGCTGTTTTTGACGCGTTAATCGACGGAAATGCAACACCTCACCTCTGGGAAATACATATCCAGCAGCACAAAGTGCTGTAAAAGGAATCCCGTATAGGTGACAATTGTGAGAAGGACGTCGACGATGAAATAGAGCCTAAAGAGGCCTTAATTTTCGCGTTTGGACCTTGCCTAGTATGAGGCATGTTCAGCGTGATGCTGCCCTGGACGTTGTTGCCGTAGACTCGATACCTAAAATTTTTTAATGTTTGTAACTTTTAACCTAATACTTTCTAATTCCAGCAACCTACCCAGCAAATCCACACAGCGCATAGATGAAGGTGGTAGTCGACATACCGAGGGAAAGGACGCCAAAAGGCCCATTCATCCTCGCGCGATCCCGTAGCTGATTTTCTAGAGGTAACACCTAAACATAAATATCTTAGGGATCTGGTCTTGATGTCCTTACCACAGCATGCCCCTCATACGCATACAAAATCGAGCCGGTCGCCAGTATGAAGCCGGACCAGCTGGTGAAGTGCGGCAGCGGGTCCGTCGTGGCTGGCGCTTGGAGGAGACCCCGAAAAGGGCACAGTTTAGCATGTCCCATCCGTCCCGCCGTACCTGGAATATGATCACCAGTGCGGTGATCATCAACACGTTGCCGGCCAGCGACACGTAGGAGAGGTATTTGAAGGAGCGGATCGTGACGAGCAAGCAGAATGGAAGGCACATGAAGATTAGCAGATAAGTCTGTGATGGGGCGTTGTCAAACAGCCCGTCGCACACCTAAAGCCACATGATGTGCCGGTCCCTTTGATTTGCTTACCTCCTTTAGGTGGGATGTCATAAAAATATAGCAGACGCCACATACACCCAGCTGGAGGAGGCACAGACAGCTATTCACGAAAAACCTAGAGATTGAACGATTACGCGATATAATAAATTTATAAGGAAACCTTGCTAGTGTTGCGGGGGGTTTCAAGTCCGGTGCAGAATTGTGCGCTAATTTCGGGTATGTTCACCAAATTTGCAGGATCTGGATTTTACGGAAGTTATGAACGACCTATGCCCGAGAAACACTCGAAATGAGCGCGACTATCTATGGTACTATCTTAACTTAAATCGTTCATAACTTTGGGAAAACCGCGATTCCGCAAATTTGGTAAACACATTCGGAATCAGCGCAAAAATCCGCATAAGAAACTGGTCCCAACTTGGAACCCGACGGCACTAAAAAACGTCCCCTTGGCAGTGGAGCTTACTTGGCTTTTGGAGCCCATCGTCTAACACTCCTCGGGCCCTGCTCGAACGCCTTTTCCACCATATTCCCGTAGTTCAACGCTTTCCCACCCGAGCTGAATATTGGAATGGAGTGGAATGGTGGGTGATTCGACTGACAGTACGGTCAAATATTGGGACGACTTGACGAGCTTGCTCATGTTCAGCGTCGCGATGAAGCCGATCGCGAAGAGGAGGGTAAGTCCTGTCTACAGATTTTTTATCTATTTTTAGGAATTAACTTACCCCTAGCCCGGCAAATTTTAGGGATAGCGGTATTGAGAAGCACCCAGGGCCCACCATGCCGCGAATAAAGTTGATGTACGTCATTTTTGTACTAAATATCTTTAGGTTTACAAAATTAAGGTACACATACGAGATGCCCTCCTCGTTGTTAAGCGCCTTTTTGTAATCGGTGACGCCACGAAACGCCTCTAAAGGGGTGTGAAACTTTTGGAGATCTAGCTCACTCCGCTCGCCATTGGACAGCATCGGCGTCTCCTCGGCGGGGGAGGCCGTGCTGCTCGGTGAGGTGGAGTGCATTCTAAAAAACGGGAAATTGTCAGTTTTGAGAAAGCGTGTCCGAAAATCATTGGTGCGAAAAATTATCTGTCCGAAAATGTCACAGAAATTTGCGAGCTAAAGCTACATAAGTTCCTATTAGTATAATTCTATTTTATAGTATTTTTAGTCGCTTTCAAAGGCTAGGAAGTTCACAAAATGAAAATTTGAAAGCTTTGAAATTCCTGACTATTTTGGTAACCAGTGGAAAATGACCGCTTCGCGGCCCTTTTCCACTGGACGCCGGCTAGGAATTATGAATTCCCTTTCCTTTTATTAAAGCCGGACGGTGCAAGAACCTGACTCAAGGAACCATTAGTTGGCCTGCGCCGCCAGAGCCAGCTTTGCGCTAAAACTTTCCCTGCGGCGCTAGCTACTGCTTTTTCTCCCGGATTTAGCCTGCGGCGCGAAAGCGTAACTCAAGGAGCTTTTCATTGGCCTGCGGCGCCAGAGTCAGCATTCCGCTAGAATCTGAGCCTGCGGCGCTAGTTACTGGGTTTTCTCCAGGATTGGCCTGCGGCGCCAGAGCCTGGCTCAAATTTCTTTTTCGTTGGCCTGGGGCGCTAGAGCGAGGGCCAGGCCTAAAACTCGCACACCGAGACCATAGAAATATGTTTTGTTGTTGAACTACCAAAAAGCAAAAAGTTAAATTCGGCGTGGACTCGAACCCGGACCACCCGCTTGGTAGGCCGGGCGCCTATCCACGACACTACGGGGGAGATGGCGATGGGCGGCGGGAAGGGCCTCTTCTGTCTAGGGGGCGGGCATCCCGTGAAGGGGGACTTCTGGTAACTTTACAAAATTCTCTTTTTGAATCTCAATGCGCCGAAAATTTGTAACAATAATAAGAGGTGCGTGATCCCCACCATCGAATACATAAGTGGGCCAAATTACAGACCAAAATTCCATCTGGGATTCGAGTTATCGCCTGGACACCACGGGACTGTGGCCATTTTATTAAGGACCTTCTAGTAAAATGCTCATAAAAACTTTATTTTAAGGAATTTGGCAAAATCGAAAAAATAGTATCGGGAGAATTGTTTCTTCCATTCACCCTCCAAAAATCAGCGCCCAACTCCTCTTAGCGTCCGAGAAAACCTCCGGACATACCTTTTTTACAGCGAAATGTTAAGGATTTTTCACTATTTTGGTTGTAAAACCGTCAAATGAAGGAATTTCGCAAAACAAAAAAATGCATCACTGACAAATGTGTTTCTCCACCTCCGTGCCAAGAATCAGCTCGAAATTCGGCTTGACGGCCGAGAAATCGGCTGTACAGAAAACAGACATACTTTTCTCGCTTATAGGATAGGATTTTTCATAAATTTTTACCAAAACGTCAAAAATTTTCGAAAATTTAGATAGGGTTTTTTATGAACTTTTTACGTCTAATAACCGTATTAAAGATCTTAAAAAATTGTTTATATTTTGTTCTAGGACAGTACAGCTTAACTCGGAAAAATTAGTTTCCCCCTGTTAACAGTCCAGCACCAAAAAAGGGGAGCATCTAATGATCAACGTCATCTACCTGGCCAGCCGCCAACAGTTTGCACAGCCCGCACGCACCGTAGAACTGGGCAAGCGGATCCGGGAGCTAAAAGAGCCAGAAGCTAAACGTGCCCAAAAAATGGCGAATCGCACGGAAAACACTTAGCGCAGGGCGGTACAGATTTTCAAAGATCACGCTGCTGACGGGGGGCAATCTATAAAAATCGGCGAGGAGGGGTTAAAGTGCAGGGCGATGGAAATGCGGGGGAATGCATGTGGATGGATGAACGAAAAGTGAAGGACGAGAAATGCAGAAAGCCAATCCTGGGGCTGGTGGGGCTGATATGGCGTGACGATAAGGGGATGACTGTCTCTTGGTTCACCCATGCCCCACAATGCAACTGACCAGATACGGTTAGGATAGAGAACGGGTGAGATAAGTACAAAACGAGACTCTGAACGTTTTTGGAGCTTTTTTTAGTGAGGAAAACGAACCAGGAAAAATTCGTCAAAATGCACCAACCAGCTATGGTTTCGGATAGAAACGGTTAATAAGTACAAAACGCAACTCTGAACCGTTTGGAACGTTCTAGTGAGAAAAAGCAAAAAATTTGACCTAGGCGGACCCAAACCCTTGACCCTGAACGGAAAGGTAGCGCTGCTAACCACTACGCCAAGACGAAAATCGTGGAATGTTCGGAATTTTGAAAATACAGGTTTAATTAGTTAAATAGTTAGTTAGATCTTAAAATATTTTAGTTACTACGCAGTATAGCATACACAATTTTCTTTGGCAATGTACGAGGTGTGGAACTTGTCAGGTGACGTTATTTTTATCCCTTTTTGAGCTTTTCAATTCCTAGAAATGGAATTTAGTATTTCTGGGGGTTGTTAGCTAGCTAGCTGACAAGGTTTTTGATTTATATAAATAGCGACAAAGAAACAAGCCACATCCAAGCTTCACAAACAAAAGCTAAAAGCCTCGTTTTTATCTAACCATGTGGGGGGAGGCGCTTTTTTGCCAAAATGCAAGAGCTGTTTATCGTTTTGTCGATACCAAGGCGTCGCCCCGCATAAAATTTAGCAGTGAAACGCGGTGCACCCTGTTCTGGTTCGTTGATAATTTTTAGAGAATTTTAGTGAGATCTATAACTCGTTTTTGATTTACTGGAATTTTAGATTTAGAAATTTTACAGATGAGGTTATAAACTACAATTTACAAGCTGCGGGACTGTGCAGCCGGTGGGTGTGCGATGCCTAATGTTTGAGACTGGTGACAGCATTGAAGGGCTGGGCGAGAACGATGCCGTCGGCGGCTGCCTCGACCCAGAACCGGTTATGCGTCGGGAGCACGAGAGAGAGAGAGAGGGAGAGAGAGAGAGAGCGAGAGAGAGAGAGTGAGTGAGGGAGATATCATGAAAAACCTCTACGTTCGTAGATCAACTTCAAGTATTTCCCAACGCACAGTGGTTTTTAAAGAGTAAAAATCGACTTTCAGGCCAAAAAACCAAACTAAAGCTAAAGCCAACTCAGCCTCTGACTTCCCGGTCCCTTAAAGGTACTGTACTGTTAGCGAGGGGGCGGGGCGGAATCAATACGCACAATTTATTGGTTTTCACGCCGTGTTTCAGTGTAGAAAGTTCATAAAATATTAACAGTTTTAAAAATTCTGATTTTGGCCTAAATTTATTTCAACCTTCTGATTTTGGCCTAAAATCGAAAATAGAAATGATCGAAAATTTCAATTTTAATTCTATAAAAAAAGTTTTAATTACTTGATAATCATCAAAAACTACTAAAAACGGTAAAATGGATTGTAAAACTGTCAAGTTTTTGTTGTGTAGATACATGAGAGACAGCTTTTCCCCTAGCTAACAGTCCAGTACCCCTTTTAAGACCACCGTTCGCGTCAGGCGGCGAGAAAATATGTGCTTCCGTCTGCCGGGGCATCACGTCTCCGTCCCAGCCCTTATCAGCCGGCCCCTGAATTCGATCGTTTCGGCGGGCGACTCCGAGGCGAAAGACTGAATAATCAATTGGCCGACACCAGAAGACCAATCCGGGCCCCGGATTATTATTTTCATCTGGATTATCCTTTTTTAAAGTTTATAATTGTTTATTGAGTACGTTTATTGCTTTTTTTTGCTTAGCGCTACAAGCCGAAAACCTTTAAAACTGTCCAAAACTTTACCTTCTAGCGTTTTTCAATACCTTTTTCACCCAAGCAAACCGCCCCTTAACTTTCTCTGTATTACAGATTTGGGCAGAAGATGATCGGCTGGAAGTGCTCGGGCTGCATCTTTGGCACCTCGCTCTGGGGCGTGATTTTCTTGGTGGGTTTTAAAAGCTAAAATTGCCGCCAAAACTCAGAACTCGCACAATCCGCGTTGAACATAAAACTCTAGTTTTGCAACCCATCCAAAAATTGTGCATTTGCAGGCGGTCCTCGGCGGCCTGTACTACAACGAGTCGATCGGACTGCTCGAAGACATCCCAGAAGAGGAGAAAGAGGCCATCATCCACAACGACTGGCGCACACAGCGCGTCCCGGACATCAAGGTGGCAAAAAAAGAAAATTTTTTTATTGATAAAAAACAACTATTTTAAATACGATTTCAGGACAAATTCCGCCAAAATGCCTACAATGCCTGGATTGCGGCGGGAGCCTACGGGGGACTGATGGTCGTTTCCGGCATTTGGATGGTCATCTCGTTCAAGAGATCATAAAAAAACTATAAAGCTATATTTTGAATTGTACATTTTTACTACATTCCCCCTTTGCGTGTGTGTATGCCCGAAAAATATCGTAAATTTATGATAGTTAGTGCAGGCCCTGCAAAATAAAGCTAAATTTGGCCTCGGACGAGGCAGGATGCGCTTGAAAATATAAACATCAAATAAACGTCAATACAAGAATAGGTTATACTTTAAAATATAATTTTTAAAGGAAATTCATAAATCAGAAACCTTGACGCAATTTAGTGATTTTCAGGCTTTATCAATGCCATACTTTTTTGTTCAACATGATAGTTTGCCATGTCACGAAATGAACCCAGCAAATAGACCGGAACAGCCAGACGTTCCCATTTTTTAGAATAACCCCCTGGTCGGGCTACACGCCGCTCCTCTGCACTCATTATTTACAGCGGCCGGCAACCAAAGAGGACAGGGTCTCGATTTCTGTGCGTCACGCGCTCTATCTCTCGCTCTCTCCCGCACTCTCTCGCCCTCTCCCGCTCTCTAGCCCCCCGAATGCCCGGTTGTCGCAGGCCAGCGGGGAGCCGGGGGCTTATATGATAAAAAGAGGGCCACTGGTTTGACAGCTTATTACTTCGTTGCCTGGCAAATTAAGGCGAATTTCATCATATTAAACGTGTCGCTTTTGGAAATCTGGTATTTGTAGCTTAGAACTGCAAAAAAACCTACAATTAGAAGCTATTTAGAAGCTCTCTTCAAAATAACCATACAATCTTCGTTTCTAAGCCTGATCCGTCAATTATCTGATCGAAACTAGGCCATAATTTCATGGACTACTACCCAATTCACAACGACCAGACAATAAGCTCTCTCACTTTTTGCCCTACTCCCCTGATTGATGCGAGTTTATGGGCGCTCTTTCGTGCTTTGGAGCCGTTCTCCCTCCTCCCTCCCCCCTACCTATCGCCCAGCAGCCTTTCATTTCGATTTACGGCGCACGGCCATGACAAGATTTTTTGAATTCCAAGCGCACGGGGGCGCACCTGGCATGGTGTTAGACCTTTAGCCCTGTTGGCAACTTCAAATGCGGCATGAAAGCAAATAAACCTCTCTTCCTGGCTCTCGTAGTGTTTATTTGCGTTGCAGGAATCACGGCCCACATGAGTTATCATCGCTTTGTTTTCCAATTTTATAGATTCTGTGGCAGTGCCCTACACTAAAAATCTTTTGGTTTTCAGGGATGGGTGAGGTCTACGTCGACCGGAATGTTGACCACGATTTTGAGGAAGTATCTAACCCCGTTGCCCGTAAGTTTTTTTTTGTGATGATGTGTATATTTTTTTCAGCGGAAGCCGTCCGGATCGTCGAAGTGAATGATGGCGACGCCGATCACACCTTCTCCCTAAATGAAGCAGCGCTCGAGAAGGTGCTTCTCGACAAAAGATACGCAGACAAAAAGGTAAGCAACCTAACTTTCGGACTTTGTACTTTGAAATTTGTGAGCTTACTAATAGTCTATTCTAGGTCGCCGTGATCGGTGTCGCTGGCGCCTACAGGAAAGGAAAATCCTTTCTTCTCAATTTCTTCCTGCGATACCTCGAGGCTTTGGAGCGAAATGACGGTTTGGCGACATAAAGTTTCTATAACTAGGGCTTCAGGTCAAAAAGAGGGCAACTGGATGCAGCCGGAAACACCGCTCAAGGGCTTCTCGTGGCGCGGCGGCAGCGAGCGTGAAACGAACGGAATTCTGATTTGGGAACGTCCGTTCATCGTCAAGGATTTGCACGGCGAGGAGGTAACCGCTATTCTTGCTTCAAAAATTCCTGCTGTAGGTTGCCGTTCTGCTCATGGACACGCAGGGCGCTTTCGATTCGCAGTCGACGGTGAAAGATTGTGCCACAATCTTTGCGCTATCTACCATGATCAGCTCCGTTCAGGTATCAAATTATACTCAAGTCACACCCGCTGTTCCTAGATTTACAACCTGACCCAAAACATTCAAGAAGATGATCTCCAGCACCTGCAGCTGTTCACCGAGTACGGGCGCTTGGCGTTGGAGAGCTCCTCGAACAAACCATTCCAGGCATGTCCCAATTCATGAGCCTAGTGTCTTTTTGCAGAGCCTCATCTTCCTGGTGCGCGACTGGAGTTTCCCCTACGAAGCGGAATTCGGGTTCAATGGCGGCCAACGGACACTAGAGAAGCGATTACAAGTGAGTGGCCTTTTAGAGATTGAATTCATTCGTCTAGGTTTCCGACAAGCAGCACCCGGAGCTCCAGCAATTGCGCACACACATCCGGGCCTGTTTCGACGACATTCAGTGCTTTTTGATGCCACACCCCGGGCTGAAGGTGGCTACGAACCCCAATTTCGATGGGAAGCTGACTGGTGTGTTTTGATTGCTACTTTCCTAATCCTCGGTATGTCAAGGCCAGTCATGTAAAATACAAAATACTATCGTCTGCTTTCGAGGCTCAATTTAGCTCAAAATTATCACTTTCAACCGCGATGGTAATCGATTTATCGGGTGTTTTTGGAGGGTTTCTTTTCTCTTTCCTATCCTGTATGTACTTTACGGATTAGCTCATGGGAAATGATATATTTTTACCTTTGCATTATGTCATACCTCCACTTTTTTAGATATCGAACCCGAATTCCAACACTCGCTGCACGCCCTGATCCCGCGCATCCTCGACGGGGCCAACCTGGTGCTGAAGGACATCAATGGGGGCAAAGTGACTTGCCGCGAGCTCGTCGAGTACTTCAAGGCCTACATGAAGATCTTCCAGGGCCAGGAGCTGCCCGAGCCGAAATCTATGCTAATTGTTGGTTTTTTATTAATTTCGAGTGCATTTTTGTAAGCAGTTCAATCTACGTTTTTCAGGCGACTGCCGAGGCAAACAATTTGGCTGCAGTCTCCAGCGCACGGGCGCTCTACAGCCGTAATATGGAAGAGGTATACATTTTATTTAACTGGAAGAAATGCTCCCAGGTGTGCGGTGGTGACAAGCCGTACATGTCCACCTCCGAGCTGGGAGTGGAGCACGAGCGCTGCAGAAACGAGGCCATTCGGGAATTCCGGTAATTATTTAGTCAATTTTGCGCTTTGTTTCGAGCATGAACTTCCGTAGCTAATTTTCACTCAATTCCTTCAGAAATGCGCGCAAGATGGGTGGCGCCGACTTCAGCATGCAATTCCTTGACCGATTGGAGCAGGACATCGGGGTAAATTGGCATCTTTTTACGAATTTTCACATCTTTAGGAGACCTTCGAGAACTTCAAGAAGTCGAACGAGGGCAAGAACCTGTTCAAGTCGATGCGTACGCCTGCAGTGCTCGTGTCGATGATGATCGTCGACTACATCATCCAGCAGTTCTTCTACCTAATTGGCTGCGACGGAATCGCCGGTTCGTATAAAACCATTCTCGTTAGTTATTTTACTTAGGCATTTTCTCGTCCGTGTTCATGATCGTGCTGTTCGCTCTCTCCGCCTGGGCCTATTCCCGTTATTCGGGCAACCTTCGCGAAGTCGGTGGACATGTGAGTTGCAGTCTGATTTCGTGGATCAGCACTTTGTTTTTCAGGTGGACGAGGCGGTGAACTGGCTGTGGCGTGAGTTCATCTCACCCAACACGCAGTACATGGGCGCCCTCGGCGGTGCTGTGCAGCTGGGCGAGCAGCTCCAGAACGCGTCTCAACCGGCTCGGACAGATCGTAAAAATCGCTAAGCCCTTTCACCTCCCACTTTTTCGCTTACCCGCAGCATCTTATGATTGTACACGGTAGCTACTCGAGGTCCACTCCCACTTTTTAATTGTCACAGCAGTAGCATTGTTCCGTTTTTCTTGGCGCGTCATTTATATAGTCATGTACAGGCACGAACCAACCAACAACTACCCTGGATTTTTGTCCTCCCAAATATTTGTCTCTCATTTGCAGAACTGGGTCTGCCGTGCACCCGAACGTACACACCAGTGGCGTGGTGCGCATTAGTGGGTGGTACGGCTTCATCTTTGCCTCGATCCGCCTTTCCGTCCGTTGCCTCCTCCATTACATCTTCGCAACTTTGAGCCTCGGTAGTTCAGTTTCCCCTCTGTTTTGCGCTAGTGTGTCATGCTGGATATTCGCCCCCACACAATCCGTGATTTCTGTATGTGTGTGTCTGTCATAAATGTGGATATGTACCCAAATTTAACGTTTGAGCGACAGACAAACAAAAAAACCCGTTTATTCCCGTGTCGATATGCCCAACAAGACCGGGCAAGAAAAATGCGACGATATGCCGCCCATGACCGAAGAATGCATCGAGGCTTTTGTAATCAATTCTGTTAAGCGCGAGAGCAGAAATATCCAAAACACTGATGTGAATGGGGGTACTAGGATTCGGTCGAGTTGGTCGCTGATGAGGAGGTTGGGCGAGACGTACACGTATGGCGGCCGAGCGCGACTTTCGCGAAGAGCTTCCGCTTCGGGCTGCCCTTGTTTTTCAGGATCGACGACGGCCCGGCGCTGCAGAAACAACAGGTCAATCGTGCTACGAAAATAATTTGGCCTACCACGTGTCAGCAGAGGTGGTGATGCGCATCAGCGGCCCGAGAAACATTTGCGCCGCTTTTTCAACCATCGGGAACGCGTGGATCGCCGGCTCGGACTTGTCGGTCTCGGCGCCGTCGGATCTTGGCCCGGTGTCCGGGATCGCTGGAAAAAAGAGGGAAGAAGATAGCATTCTCAATCTTTGTTCTTACACAGCACATCCAGATTTGGTGGCGTCAAGGCCGGCCAATGTTGATCGTTTTGTTGGCACTGGATAGTTGGCGCCGCTGGTGGAGCAGGACGAACGAGTGCTTGTGACTCCGCGGGGCGTAGCTTGGCCGGCGCTGCAATTTGCTGCGAATCCGTGTCCGAGTCACAGCTCGACTCTTCGACGTTCCTCCTCCGCGGCACTTCGGCGTGTTGGTAGGAAGCAGCTAAACAAACTTTTTCCCTTAGGGCCAATTTTTTGCATCGAAAATGGAGAAACTGCATCCATATTGTTTCCTTATGTTTAAAGTTGAAAACTAAGCAAACTTTCGTTAAAAACAAGGGAAGGTCGATTTTCAACATTTTCGACCAACGAATTTACAAGCATTTTTGTATTTTAAGTAGTTTCTTTACTTTAAACCCCACTAATACTACTAAGAACTACAAAAATAATTGCTTTTGGGTACTTAGGCACATCTGGAGTGATAGGACGAAATTTGTTCTTCCAATTTATTTCTAGAACCTACCGAAAGGCCGTGATACGTTGCCGCTCAGTTGTCTGTTGTTGGCGGCCACAGTTGCCGACCATCGCTCGTATTGCTCGACAAGCCTCTCCCCTTAAACAATGGTGTGCTAGCGCATATTGAAAAGGTTTTTGAGGTTTTTTGGTTCTGGATCGTTATCGAGGGACCAGCACCCGCATGAACAATTAAAAAGAACAATTTAAAATTACGTTAGAGCAAAACCAACATTCTTCCCGGGTCACATCGCTGGGATGGACGTAGATGCAGGTGTCCAAGTAACGGCATAGCCCGGTGCCGCCGGCCGATGGGACGTAGCGGCGGCAAGCCTTCGGGATCCAATGGGGTTTTCGCCACGCCTGCGGCGGAAATTTTTTGAAGTTTTGGAGCTCGTAGACGTGGAAAAAGAAGAGGGAAAATAGGATACGAAAATAGATAAGTGGAACTCACTAGATTTGGCGGCTCGTGTGCCGGGCTTCGTGGCGATATGAAAGGGTGCGGAATTGGTTGTGGATTCGGGATCCTAAAAAAAAACAGCATTACTTGCCATGATTTGGTTGGTTGAGTTTTCCGGGTCTTTGTCATGCTCAAATCCTTTTTATCAGGCGCACCTTTCAAACTTGGGCTCCGGCGGTCGTCTGGCAATTGGTGGTGGTGGCGGCTGAATCGCGGCGAGTGCCCCCTTGTGCTGTTGCTGCCATTGGGGCGGTAGACGTGGCGGTGGCGACAGTCTGGTTGGGCTTAAATTGGCTCATTGGCTAAACGAGAAATAACCAAAAAGGGCTTTTTTATACTATTCCGGCACGTAAAAACTTTTTTTCAAAAAAAAACTACAATTTTTATCAAAAAACCAAAAAATATAGACTAGGAACTGAATTTTTCTAAAATAAACAGAGAAAATGTTTCTAAAATGTTTCTACTATTCCTGCACGTAGAAAAATTGTAAAATTTCCTTAAAAACACCCAAGAATCAATTTTTCGACCACAAGATGGCCGATTTTCAACCTAATTGAAAAATGTCGAGGTTTTTAAGATAGTTAAGATCTCGGCGAACTTTACGAAAAACGCTACTATTAGGTTACGTGCAGTTCAGAATTTATAGGAAAAATGTGGGAGACCCCGATAATGTGAAAACGAGTTTTAAAGCTTATACCTCTTGTAGGTGGTGTTGGCGGCGGGCAGCTGGGTCACGAGGGCTTGCTGTGGCTGCTGGGCGACGACGATGGGTTGTTGCGCGCCCAACTTGGGCCAGTAGATGAACGGTTGCTGCTGGAATTCACGGAATTGAATCGCTTCGATAGTATACAAACTACCGGTTGAAGGGTTAGTTGTTGTTGTGGCTGTCGTAGGGGCTGCACTTCGATGAAGCCGTCAACTGAAACGGGTTCATTAATGCGGCCTCACTCGCCAAACTAACGGTTCTGAGTTATGTAGCGCGGCTGTAGTTGAGGCTGCGTAGCGGGATCCGGGTCGGTCACCTGCAGCAGGCCCACCGCACGCTAAACGAGAAAATTTTGGTGTTGGGCTGTTAGCGGGGACCTCTAACGAAAGCGATTTTGGATAGAATTTTGCATAGTTTTTATATATAAAAAACCAGTAAAAATCAGAAAAGCTTTCGAGAATTTCGATTTTTTTGAGCAAAAATTTGTGAAAATGGCCAAGAATGTAAGTTTCAAATTTTCACTTTTTTTTGAAATTTTGTTACGTTCCCAGCGATCAAAAACTACCAAAAATACACAATATAAAAACAAGTTTTCCTAAAATGCGACCAAAAATCAAAGTTAGTTTTGCGTACCAAATCCCCCCCCCCGTTAACAGTCCAGTACCCCCGTTTTCTGCCCTACATAAGTTGATGGTGATGGTTCGGCGATGAGGTACTGCATCTTGGGCTGCTCGTAGTAGATGACCTGCTGCTGCTGCTGGAGGGGTGGAAGTTGGGCTGGGACGAGGACGAGGTCGCGGTTTGGGAGCGCGGAAAGGTCTAAAAATAAAGTAAGGTTGGCCAATGTAAAATACCTAGAAGCTGATAGGCGGGTGCCGTCTGGGGTTGTTGTATCTGCGTCGCGTCAGCGTACTGGTAGGTCGTGGGTTGGTTCCAGGGCTGTAAAGGTCATTTTTAGGTATGAGAACATCTACTCCAACCTGTGGCTGCTCATAGATTATTTGCGGTTGGGGCGGCAATTGTGGCGATTGGTAGAACAGCGAATTCCGATCCATCGAAAATGATGGTGGATGGCGGATGTTTTTTTAGCTAGTTCCGGTTTTGGCGCACCCGGAAATGCGGGTATTCAATGGTAACTTTTAAATTTATGCTAATTCAAAATTTTAATAGGACCGGAAAAGGAATCAAGGAATTGCTAAATTTTTGGACTTTGCTAATTTATTTTTAGGGGTGCTTTCGCATTATCCGGGGGAACAAATTTTTTTCTTTAGGGCCCAATTCTTCTAAAGAATGTTTTTAAACTATTATTTTACTACTCCTTGGCTGCAAAACTTTGCAAATTTTTGATCCGAAAATACAATAAATACCATTTTTTTGCGGCGATTTTAGATTTTATTAATCGTTTTTGAAGGTTTTCCAGTTGAAATATGGTGAAACTTTATTAAAAACTTACTATGGCGCTACTAGGCATTCCTGGACCTTTTGGAAAAATGCAATTAAGAAAATTGTGATTTTGACAACATTTTAAAGTCTTTTAGTCCATTTTTGAGGGTTTGTCTTCCGTTTTTCGCGCGCGTTTCCTGTCTTAAACCTAGGCTTTTCCAGCAAAACCCGGTATTTTTCCAAATTCCGTGCCGACGAGACACCCCAATTTCGCGCATCACCACCATGCCAGGAATGCGAGACGTTTTCGAATCACGGGCCCCAGTGAAATTCGGAATTTTTAGGCGCCGCGCGGGATTGTCACTGGTGGCACGGCTGAGGTTTGATTCCGGAAGGTGTATTCCGGTGGAGCCGTTATGACGCCGATTCCAACGGAGGGCGAGTTGCTGCGCTTCGGTTCGCTGAATATCATGCTCTCCGTGGGGGGTATATGTCTGCAGATATGGTATATTAAGGTATCGTCTTGGAAAAATGATGAAATCTGTTCTTTGGCATTATCGGGGGGATTCTCTTATCTGTAAATTCGGTTCTGTGCTACCAGGGGTCTCGTCCGACGAGCGAAAATCAGTCTTTGGCATATCGGGGGGTCTCTTAAAATGACAGCTGCCAAAAATCGGTACTTTTGCGGTATCAGGGACACGGAATTTTCGTGTGAGCCTAGAAATGTAAAATAACCTAATAATAACTATTTGAATAGTTTTAACGTAATTTTGCTAAATTCAAGTCAGACCTAAAGTTTAATTGAAGTTCAAACTATCTAAAAAACCTAAAAAAGTGCTAAAAAATTCCCAATTTCGGCCAACGATCGATATTTTTGTCGTTTTGTACCAAAATTTGTACAGTTTTTACGTCAGGGAATAGTGAAAAATAACCTAGAAACGGTTCCTCTCGGTAAAAATGTGTGATAAGAAAAAAGTTAGCCCCCCGATAATGAAAGAGAACCACCACTTGACTTCAGTTTCTCTACGCACGCCGGCCTGGTTGGGGTCGAGACATTGTGCTGACGCTCCACCTCCTCTCCGCGTTCTGCGATATTGTGCAGCTGAGCGCGCACGGGTTCGCCGGGCTGCAGATGTTCTTTCCGGAGGCGCCTTTGCCATATTCCAGGGTAGGAGCTGTTTTTTAGGTCGTCCCAGATACGGTACTGGGCTCTTAACAGGGGGTGGATGTTATCAGGGCTATCATTTTTATGCTAAGTTATAAAAAAGGTTTTAAAAATTGGAAAATGTGAAATGTTGACCTTTTTGCTCATTTTTTCATAAATTTTGCCCTAAAAGTAAAAATTTTCGGGTTCTTATACATTTTTATATCCTTTTTACATCTACACACTGTGTAAAATTCTATGAAAATTGGTTACTGTGCGTCATTGAGCCGTAGGGATCAATGGGAAAAATTATTTTCCCGCCGATAAAAAGCTCCCCCCTGATCACAGACCGGTACCGATCATCCTTCAAAAAACCAGGTTCAATAAGATCGCAATCCGCATAAATAACCTCAATACGATAAAGTACCTTGCGCCTGGATGATAGCTCATTGGTAAGGTGCTAACTTATGAGGCGCAAGGCCCGGGTTCGACCCTCGCCCGGGGAAATTTGGTTTTTTTGCCGAAGGTTTTTGCAATAGCTTTTGGAAGGAAGGAAATGGGGGTTGTTGATGTCATTTTTCTTAAAATAACTTTTTTAATAGTTCTTCGGCGGACTGATCATCGGTGGGTGGATCAACGGCACGCTTTACATGAACTATTTTGTATTGCATCGTTTTTTATTTGTTTATCTGCCATTTACGGCCGATCAGATCCTGACGCCGTTTGTGAATAAGGTGAGCATGAGATCGTGAGAGAGAGGAGAGAGAGAGCGAGAGATAGATAGATAGATAGAGCGAGAGAGGTAGCGAGAGAGGCGAGGAAGGGAGGGAGAGAGATGAAGAGCGGGAAAGAAAGAGAGAGAGAAAGAGAGAGAGAGTGAGAGTGAGAGAAAGTGAGAGAGAATGAGCTCGAGCTCACGCCTTTAATCAACTCGTTCTAGATCTATATCGTGTTTACTTTCATGTGCTTCCTATTACATATGGGATGTAGCGTCTCTATATACAACGTTACCTACAATGCAACCCAAATACTGTGGAAGGTCGCCAACACCGACAAGGGCGGATACGAAAAATTGATCCTCGAGATCAATGAATATTCCAATTATGTGTTTGCGTTTTTTTGCCTTCCATTTTATGTGGCAATTATTGGAATGGTGCTTTATCGAAAGGTGAGATGGGAGAGAGAGGGAGCGAGAGAGAGAAAGAGCGAGTGAGAGCGAGAGAGAGAGAGAGAGAGAGTTAGAGGAATTTCAAAATCTCAAAAACCAACAATTCCAGAAGCGAATGCGTGCCGCCCTGAAGTCGCGCGACATCTACATCATCTGCCAGGTTTTCAAGGCGTTTTCTAGATGTGATTTTCTGTTTAGATGATGTTGTCCTGGGCGCTGGGGATGCTCTGCTGGATCGTTTGGGAGATCTGGACACCAAAAACTGATCCCCCGGTTGTGGCATACCTTAAGGTAATCATCGCTTCTCTTCCTCGCTTTCTCTCTCTCTCTCTCTCTCTCTCTCTCTCTTCTCTCTCTCTCTCTCTCTCTTTCTCTCTCTCTCTCTCTCTCTCTCTCTCTCGCTCTCTCTCTCCCTTTCTCTCACTCTCGCTTTCATCTTAGCCCTTTAGAAATCGCTGTCGTGGATCGGCTGGAATTGTTACAAGCCGCTTTCCACCCTAATAACACTCAGGTGGGCACTTTTCGAGCCTTTTTTAATTTAATTTGGTATTTTCCTGGTTAAAAATCGTTAAAATTAACTATCGTAATTTAATTTAATTGTAAAATTTATTCATAAATAAAATAAAAATTTTGTATTTGCAGCATCAAGCCGAGCTGGGTGACCGGCGGCGCAAACACCAACAATCCGGCCAGAGGACCCGTCAGCCGCACAAAAATCACGAATATTTCTTGAGTTAGTTGAGCAGGATACTGTATTTTGTTGAGAATGAAGTTCTTTTTTCGAACATATGATTGCATTTAAAAACACAAGAATATAAAATATCATACTCGATTGCTAAAAATGACAACAACACCTCTTTTTAATTTGAAGTTTTATCGTTTAAAACTTAAAACTATTTTAAATTATTTAAATCTAAGAATTTATTTAATAATTGAATACGGATTGGGAAAAATGGCAAAAAAGTTGATTTTCCCAAATTTTCCAAAATTTTAATCGTTGAGCTTTCCTCAATTCCACGATATTCCAGATTCCGCTAGTTTCCTGAAATTAGACGCTTTTTGTATTCACATCTATGATGCGTTCCTTTAATTTTATTCGGCACTGGCAATTTTCCAGTTTTTTTAGAATTTCACCCTAGCCAATTTTCGGGCCGAATGCCATCGGGCATGGGATAATTCGGAGGAATTCCGCTTGTCTGCCAAAATTCCTATGGACGACCCGGGTACCGTAGCTGCTACCGTATCCCCTACAGTAATCCCAGAATACGCAATTTTTGGGTGTATCGAATTCGCGGTGGCCGCGTTTTTTATCGGGTTGCAGTTGTGGTATTTTCGGGTGGGTTTTGACGGTTTTAAAGGGGTTTAAAGGGACTGAGAAGGCAAGACTATCGATTGCGAAACATTACCTGCACGCATTAAAAAGCTTCCTGGAAATTTATAAGCAGGCCTCGGACCTTAGAGGTATTTTTAGTATCTGCTGTCGAAGAAGCCGGACTGGGGCAAGGGTGTTGTGGTGATACTCTTCTTGCTGACCGCCGTCTGCGACGTGTTCCAGTTGATCGCCCATTGCTACGTGGCGCTGGCGATGATCTTCCCCGTCACCCTCGAGCCCTACTGTGGGGTTAGTTTTTAAACCGGCTTCGGAATTTTTGGAGAAAGAGGTGACAGAGTGCGAATGAGAGTAAAAGAGAGAAAGAGAGAGAGCGAGAGAGACAGAGAAAGAGAGACAGAGAGACAGAGACAGAGAGAGACAGAGAGAGAGAGAGCGAGCGAAAGAGTGAGAGATGGGGAGAGCGAGAGAGAGTGAGTCAGAAAGAGAGTGCGTCAGAGAAAGAGTGAGAGAGAGAGAGAGAGTGCGTCAAAGAAAGAGAGAGCGAGAGAGTGAGAGATTTTCAGTACTTCGGTAGCCTCCTCCTTTGTGGGTGGATGAACGCCGCCTTCTACATGTCGTTCTTCGTCGTTAACCGGTTCGTGCACGTCTACTTTCCCTTTCAAGCCAGTCGAATTCTACCGCCGTGGACGGCCAAGGTAAATAAACTGTTGATGTTGAATAAAAACTGTTGGTTTTATCTAGTGGCATTACCCTGAATATACCCCCTCCACTAACAGTACAGTACCGAAAATCATCCGAATTCTTTCAGCTCTTCGTGGCCCTGTCGGCGGTGCTGTTCGGCTTCATTCTCTATTCCACAATATTCCTCTTGACGGTTGTTCGACATCAGAAAGACTGGAAATGGTCAATTGATCTAACGAGGCCGGAAAACAGGGATAATCCATATGCTGTGGCTATCAAGGCGGTGGCCAACTACATGCCCACATTCTTTGATTTGCCCTTCTATGTTGCGCTGATTATAATGATTATTTGGAGGAGGGTAGGTGGATTACGGTTTCTCTCTCTCTCTCTCTCTCGCTCTCTCTATCGCTCTCGCCCTCTATCTCGCTCTCTCTCACGCTCTCTCCCTAGCTCTTCGTTCACACTCTCACTCTCTCTCTCTTTCTCCTTTCTCTCTCTTTCTCTCTCTTTCTCTCTCTGTCGCTCTCTCTCTCGCTCGCTCTCTTACCCAACTTTTAGCAACGTGCTCCTCGCGATTTCCTGCGGCCACGAGAGATCCTTGTCATCCTCCAGGTAAAGACTGGAAACCCGATTTATGGGCCGAGTTCAGATGCTTTGTTCCTGGCTTCTCCGATTGGGCATTTGGTCATCTTGGCATATATTCGTGTCCCGTAGCGATCCGGCAGTTATCAAGTTTTTAGGGGTGCGTTTCGTGTCTCTACAGGGTGTCCCAAAACCCCCCTCTAGCGCCCGTGGGAAGCTCAGATCAGGATGATTTTTATATCATTCGAAAGCCCGCGAAAAGGCGAGAAAACAAGTGGGCTTCATTTTCTAAGATTTATTCTGATTCGTCCGATATTCAGCGTTTTTCTAAAAAAACAGGTATCTTTTCAATAGGAATTTCGCAATTAGCATGCGGATGTCGCGTAAATCAGCCGTTTTCATGAATTTTGGAGGTAAAATTCGCCAATAAAATACATAATAAGAAATGAACCCTCCATGTTTTCCGCCTTTTCGAGAGCTCGATAGATACCTACGGCGAGAATCGGATCGCTGGGCGCCGCTAGAGGGGGTTTTGGGACACCCTGTATTTCTCTCTCTCTCTCTCTCTCTCTCTCTCTCTCTCTCTGCTCTCTCTCTCTCTCTCTGCTCGCTCTCTCACCCCTTACCTTCAGAAAGACATGCTATGGCTGGTGTGGAACGGCTTCAAACCGGCATCTACGATTTTGATGCTATGGTAAGCCAATATATGTCAAGCCACCTTCATTAGCATATCCACGGAATTCTAGAAATTTTGTAAATTAAAGCTTTGCCCTTGTTGTATCTATTCAGAGCACGTTTTCAGGCTCAAACCGACGCGTCTCTTCTCCATGTTAGTGCAACGCCGTCACCGCGCCGCCACGCACAGTATCACGTGGATTCGCCCCCGAAAATCGACCGTTTCAACTTATGCTACGGCATAAAATATTACTGGTATATTCCAAATTTACCTGCCGCTAAAAAGCAACTAGCAAAGATCAATGAGGAATTTGGCAGATTTTTTTGCTCTTCATCTCGTTTTATGGATTTCTCTCTGAAGCCATCTTTATATCTCGCCTCTCGCTCGCTCCCGCTGTTCCCCTTCTCTCTCCTCTCTCGCTCTTTCTCGCTCTCCGGCTCTCTCTCTCGCTCTCCCGCTCGCATTTTCTACTATCTTTCCCTACGGTTTTTGCTGATCATTAATGCGTCTTTATTTCACAAAAAAAGCAGCTATAAATCCGTGGTCACATCACTCAGCGTCGTGACGAAGATCGGGCGCGCCGTTTCGGGCCTGCAAAAATGGACCTGATTTTCAATGCGCTCCACCTACCGTAATCGCAGGTCCCGGCTGGCGTGGAATGCGGGGGCGGAGGTGAATTCGATTTCTTGTTTTCGGGGCGGGGCTTGTTGGATCCGGCGGACGATGCGTTTTTGGTCCTCTTTCTGGAACGGGGTGGGTGTGGTTTTCTCTCTCTCTTCCTCTCTCTCCCTACCTTTTTCCGTTCCTCCTGCTCCACCCGCATCTGCAGCGCTTCAAGATGATGTAGCGGAAGACTGGGCGGATCGGGCAGGCTGTCCATAAAATGGAACGGGTCCCGTAGCGATGTCAGATTTTGCGAATTTTTCGCCTTCACCGCCTGACCCTGCGGTAGTGTGGTGGTACTGTAAAAAGGGGGTACGGTATGGGCAGTATATTCTAAAAATATCGAAATCCACGATGCCGAAAGCTCATCGTGGAATTTATATAACCTTGAAATGCCAAAACATCGACAATTCTCATTTTTTAATTTCGCCATCATGAATTTTCGGCATTGTGAAATTCTAGAGTTTTGGCCAGAATGCCGACAGCCATAATACAGAGTCGAAAATGGCGGAAATACCCACAGGCGAAAATCCCGACAGACCAAAATATCAACATAAACTGGACGCTATTCTGAATGTCACTTCCCTTTAATATCTGTTTTGGATACCGGGATTTTGGACTTTGTCAGGATTTTGACTCACAGGAATCTGGCTGTCGGGATTTTGGGTTTTCCGAAATACCGACACCGCGAAATTTCGAAATTTCCTACCGTAGCATCACATTGACTCTCGGGACCTGCGCCGAATCGTTAGGAAATTCTGTCGATTGACTGAGGGCCGGGCGCCATCTGGAAAAATTCCATACCGTAAATCAGACTTTTATTTTAATTTCCTGAAACTAGATTGGATTGGATTTATGTTTGGCTTACTGTAACTGGCTGACAGGGCGAATTCGGGCGTGCGGGAGCTAAAATTAGATGATTAGCATTGCGTAATCGGTCCTAAAAACTACCTGAATATTTTGGTAGATGTGACCGGTGGATTGGGGGCGTGGTTGGATCATCGATTCTGAATTTTAACTTAAAAAATTTACAGTAAACGGCAGTAGGGTAGCTTGGGCATGAAATAGACAGGGAAAAGTGTAGAAAAATAGGAGCTTTATGGGCGAAATCGAGCTTAGAGTTACGGTAAGTTAATGTAAATTGAATAGCGAATTTTCCACATCAAGTGAGTAAGGTTTAGCTTATGCTCAGATTAACTTAGGCTTAGCTTAGGATTAGCTTAGGCTTGGCTTAAGCTTAAGCTGAAGGCTAGACAAACAAAACTGGTAGCTGAAAGTGGTGAAGCCCCTTGAAGCTTGAGGCCATGCTTGAGGCAAGGGAACTGGATCGGCCCAGGTGTACGTATATCTCTTTTGCATGTGCCCTCTGGCTATATCGACTGGCAATGGATGCCAGGTGTTCCCTCCCCCACCACCGCGCTGGTGCCTAATTTCAATGCCTCGTCGTGGCCCAGGGCCCTTGAGGAGCCCACGAAACAACCCACCCCCAAAAGCCCATTAGCATATTATGGGCGGTCAACGGATCGGGGGCGGGGGAACGTTGTAATTAGGAAAAATCGGAGTGAAAAATTGGAAATCTAGATAAAAACTGGATTCAGATCTATAGCCTCCAAATGTCCTTTAAAAACCCTTGGCCATGCAGGGTAGCTAGCAAAGATCATTTAGGATTGCCCGAAAATATTTGCAGTTGGGGGACTTTGCATTATCGGTGGAGGAGGGGGGAATTTAATTTTTGGCCCCATTGAAAACCTCCCCCGATAATGCAAAAGAAGCGGATTTAAAAAACAACGGAAAATCCGCTCAGCTAACGAGCAGAAACGTTTTGGGATTCTCTTTGAGGTTTGGGAAAAGGCCATCAAGCAGAGATTTTTGAGGATGTGGCCAGGATACGCCGGAGGTGAGGGCACTTAACAGGGATTCTTTCGATTTGGTTTAGATAATTTTTAGGGCTAGGATAACTAGCAGGGGTTCCTTGGGAATTTGGCTCAGAGCAGCAGAGGTTCTTTGGAAAATGATACAATCAGAAGATTCTTTGGCTCAAGGCCAGCAAGCAGAGACGCTTGGGGAATTTGGCCCAAAAACTGGTGGCAAACAGGCAAGCAAGCAGGGGTTCTTTAGGAATTCTTAGAATTGACTATGGAAAGTCTAGCTTCTATGAGTGCATCGATAAAACTGAAAAAAACTGAGGGTTTGACACCCCCTGCGGGAGGTTTTGTGTGGCTGAATAGATGGACCGGGTCGACAAATAGAAGTTGGCGCGATTGGAAAAAGGGAATGGAAGTGCTTGGAAAAGAAGAAAAAGAAGAAGAGAAAGTCTCCCAAAAATGGACAACGACGACACGGTGGAGGGGATGTTTGCCAATGAGGTGCATCCCCCCCGTCCCACCCCAGCTATCCACACCCTATCCCCCAGTTCCTCTTTACGACTAAAGACGGGGACACTTTCATCATTTTAAGTGTAAAAATGTGGCTAAAAATAAATTTTTTTTTTTTAAAAAAAAAACAAAATATTCTCTCTTTGGGGGTCCCACCCAAAAGGGATCCCAACAACCCCCCCTTTCCCACCCGCAAAAACACCAAAAAACCCCCCCAAACCCCCCAAAAAACAAAAAAAACAACAAACAACCCCCCCAAACCCCCCAAACCCCAACCCCCCCCCCCCCAAAAAAAAAACAAACCCCCCCCGCCCCAACAC